TTTGAATTTAACCATTGTCTAGTTAGTTCTACTTAAAAGTTGTTGGGGTTTTTTTTATTGCCTCACATTCTTTGCTTCTTGTTCATGAAAAACTTAACAGCGTCTTACAGAGTTGTTAAAAAAGCTCTTTTCAGATTCCAGAGAAGTCAGAGAGGATTCTTCTGTTTGGAGGTGTGGAAATCGTCAGTGAAATAATGTATTTATTACTTCATTTCCTGAAATATTTCGGGTCCAAACTTGAAACTGTTCAAGTGTACATAAAGCCCTGGCAGGCAGCTCCTGCTGGGGGAGTGAGCTCATCCTCCGCTCAGGGGAGGCAGCTGAAGCATCAACTCAAGAAAAAAACTGCAGTGTTGGGGTCCTCTGCCCTCCCTGCAGCTCACCCAGCACTGGCAGTCACAGCTCAGGTGAGAGCCCACCTGCAGAGCTGCCCCAGCCCAGCAAGGAGCTGGAGCTGCTGGAGAGAGCCCAGAGGAGGCACCAGGATGGGAGGAAAGGCTGGGAGAGGTGGGATTGTTCACCTGGACAGGAGAAGCTTTGGGGTGACACAATTGTGGCCTCACACTGCCTGAAGGAGCTGCAGAAAGATGGAGAGAGAATTTTACAAGGACCTGGAGTGACAGGACAGGGGGGAATGGCTTCAAATTGACAGAGAGTAGGGTTAGATTGGGTATTAGGAAAAAATTCTTCCCTGTGAGGGTGGGGAGGCCCTGGCACAGTGCCCAGGGCAGCTGTGGCTGCCCCTGGATCCCTGGCAGTGCCCAAGGCCAGGCTGGACAGGTTTGGAGTCACCTGGGATAGTGGATTGTGTCCCTGCCCATGGCAAGGAGTGGCACTGGATGAGCTTTAAGCTCCCTTCCAGCCCAAACCATTGTGTGATTCTATGATACACTTCTCTCTGAAGAAAAAAAAATCTTGAGTAGCAGCAGCCCATATTAGTGTAGGTACAGCTTTTGAAATCCTTCTGACACTTGCTGGCACTTGAAATGTGCCACCCTTTTGTTTGGCTCCTTTGAGGTCACCACCTCGATCTCACCTCACTCTTTCCAGGACTTTGGCACTCCTGTCCATCAGAGAGCTGGAGTTCTGCCCCTGACCTGCCTTAATCACACAAAGATTTGTGAATTCTGTTTGAACCTACTTAGGAATGGCCTTGCTCATCTCTGTGGTGTTGCTTTACCAGTTTGTTGACATTCCCACCAGGAAGGTGAGAAAGTTTTTTTTGCCGTGTCCTTTCAACTCTTGGATTGATAAAAAACCATTGTAGCATTCCCTTATGTTAGTTATGGATGTTGGTTCCTGCAAAGCTCTGACATTTCCAAACGGGCTTTTTTTATTTCTGTGTTTGCAGCCCTGCTCTCCATTGAAAGCAAAGACACTCTAGATGTGTCAGGAAATTCCTTTGTTGTTCTGATGACAGCCTAACTCTATCTTTAGCCTCATATTCTGGAATTGCAAGGCCCAGCCTTCCCTTTATGAGAATGTGTATGACCTGGAGGAAGAGCTTTCCTAGCAGCAAGTTTGTTGTTTCCACTCTGAAACGATGTTAATTGATCAACTCAAAGATACAACTTCTCCTTACAAGTCTCGCCTTTCTGAGGGGAGGAAGAAACTTGCCAAAAGCTAAATATAAACAAGGTGCAGTGGAAAATGCACATGTGCCTGCTGTGGGAGTGTGAAGTGATGTCTCCCTTCCTAAAGCAGCGTGAGCTGCAGGTTAAGGGAGTTCACTGAGCAGTTGTAAATCTACACCCTGGCTCCTCCTGGTCACGAAAGATGACCCCCAGCCTCTGCCAGTGGATGCTCAGGGTGGCACAGGGTGTGTGTGCCCTGTGAGCTGGCAGTGCAGCCCCTCTGCACTCCAGGCTCCCTGCAGCATTGCTCACACCTTCCACTGCTTTGGCTACAGCAGCGAGGCAGCTCTTGCAACACAGCACAAGGTTCCTCTCTGTTCCCAGGCTACAAATACTCCTCCGAGTGACCAATGCCTCAGGAACCTGGAGGCTGGTTGGAATTTTTGCTGCAGGAACGTCTGACCTGAGGGCAGGTAAAACCTGTTCCCCTCTGCCATGCTCACAGCTCCTCCCTTGTGCATTACAAATCATCTCTGGTGTCTAATCCTCATTCTTTTCTCTTCCCAGGACAGTGTAAGTGCTCTCCTGGAATTGCTTTCAGTTCTGGGAGGTAGGCAAGGAGCCAGTGGCAAAAGGAGAAAGGTTTTTCTAGTGGAGGCAGATTTTTGACCCTTAGGTCTGATAGGAGCTGCCACAAATCTCTCATTTCTTGGGGTTTTGGGTCTCCTGTTACAATAACTCTTGTCAACTTCAGAGATTTGAGATTTTTGCTTGATTTATTTATTTTTATATTATGTGTAATTAATGAAGCCTTCCACAAATCTCTCATTTCTTGGGGTTTTGGGTCTCCTGTTACAATAACTTTTGTCAACTTCACAGATTTGTTTGAGACGTTTGCTTGATTTACTTATTTTTATAATATATGTAATTAGTGAACCCTTATTTGGGCTTCTGTCCTCATTGCTAGCATTTGATCTCTCTGGTGTCTCACAAACATACTTTTCAAGCTGTCATTGAATCCTTTACATTTCATATCTTCTAACTTGGAGTTTAAATAGAGTGAAGAAGGTAGCTCTTTGTCCTGGCCATGCCATCTCCCATCATTCTCCTCAACTTTGATGCCATTTGGGCTTTCCCTTGCCCTTCTCTGAGTGCACAACCCCACTGCTGTTTTCACCAACAGGGATCAGACTAATGAAATTGTGTAAATTGGGTCCAGTATCGGATGAGAAGTTGCCTGGAACCCTGAGTACTGTTGTTCCTGTTCCAGATTACAAACCCTCCTAGCTCAGAACATGTCTTTTCCAAGCAATTGATTGTTCTGCCAGGAGACTTGCACATAGCCAGTCCTTTTTCTTTTGGGCTGGTGATCATTTAGATTTATTGGTGTCACACATCAGTGAGCAAAATCTAACGAACAGTGTTTGCCTCTTATCCCAAACTTGTCTTTTTTGATTGTTGTGATCATTCCAGCATCCTTGTGCAAGCTTTAATACATCTTCCCTTCCCTTCTGCTTGGTCAGGTTCTGGATGTCATCCTTCAAGCTTCTGCTTCCATCCATAAAACCTGAATCGAGCACTTTTTGTAGTGTCTCTGCCTAATCCAAGCTTACTTAGGCCATGGAAAAGTTACTTTGTGGTGTTGGGTGTCACTTATGTGATGAAATGATAATCTCAGAGGAGAGAACTCTGCCTCATATGACATCAGCTTTCCAGTGAGCTGTTTAAAAAGCTGGATTATTTCTTCTTTTAAAGCTGTGATGTGCCATCATTTCAATACTAGTAAATATTTCTGATGGTGAGAACAAACTTCCTTTTATAGTATCCACACGCTGCTGTTTTTACTGAATCCAGCCTGGAGCTGTTTCCTATTTCTGAGTGTTGGCTCACACTCAGCAGCTCCTGGTGTTCACGTGCTCTGTCTCCCTCTTTCTCTCTCAGCTTTTTTAGCCTTGTTGATCTATTATTGTGACTTTGGCCAGACGACGCCAGCTTTCAGCATTTAATGGGCTGGGAGAGCAACAGCTTCCTCTGCCTGTGAGACCATGATGTCATCAGCTACTTTGGGTTCTTTCACCATCCTGATGCTTCAGTGGATGTGGAAAGAATGCAAACAGCACTTTCCAGATGTTCTCAGGGCAGCTGGAAAACCATACATGGATTGTTTGGTTGGGGAATATTGCTGGTGTGTTTAGGAGACAGCAGTGAGAGGGGTGATGAAAACACAGCTCCTGTGCTGTCAGGTGTCTCACAGAGGGTTGTTGGGGTGTTAAGTGATGGCACAGCTTATTCAGGACTCCAGCTGGGCAGCTGAAATAAATTTCTACCTGCTCTCCATTCCCTTTCTTCCCTTCCTTCCTCCAGCTTCAGCTCCTGAGTGAAGCGCAGTGTCCTTCTGATCTCCTGCAAGGCAAAAGCTGTTTTGTTCATGCAGTTCCTCAGAGCTACCTCAGCAGTTGAAGACTACAGAAGAGTTTTCTAGTTTTTAAACTCCCAGTAAAGTATTTGGTGTAGTAGGAGCTCCTGAATAAACACAGGGGTGTCTCATCTCGGTGCAGTGTGGACTGGGAATTTGGAAGCCCTCTCCGGGGCTGGAAAAAGCATCAGCTCTCACCCACTTGTGGCATATCCAAAAAAGTCTATTTTTAGGGAGAAGCGGTCACTTCCTTCTTTAGGGTGGCTGGGTGGGTGTTTTTAATGCATTAATTAATTTTTATGGAGTGATGGAAAAGCTGATGTCAGAGCTGCAGTGCGGTTGGGCGTGCAGGAACACAAGGTGGTAGGAAGTGTAGCTAACACACGAGGGCAGGGAGAGTTTAACCATGGGCAGTTTAAAATAGCAAAGCTGAGCCCTGTGGATATTAAAAACTATGACTGAATCAAAACAACGGGCTAATATTAAACTGGACTTTGCTGGGGGAGGAACAAACCTGTTGGGTTCATTTCTGTTGCTGTATCCAATGACCAAGGGATGTTTTTTGGTCTCAGCACCTGGGTTTCTGACTTAGGGGTTGTCTGGTTTTGGCTTTGCTGGGTATAAATGACAAGGGGCAATACAGGTTGTGTTTTACTGGGTTTTTTATTCAGGAGTCTGTAGAGTATCCTTTTCTTTTTACAGTGGTCTATAAATTTGTCCAGCATGACTTCTTGCCTGGCTGCTCTCACCGTTCAGATTGCACAGATCCACAGCAGGGAGGGGGAGGGAAGTGCTTTGGAAATGGGAGCCAAGACAGAGCACAGTTACATAATTGTACAAAAGAAAAGGGTTTTTTTGTTTTGTTTTTCCTTCCCATATCCTCCTGCCTACTGAAAAAATGTTGTTGGAAAGCTGGATGGAAAAAACTCCAGCATCGTTCATCCCTGTGGGGGCATGAAATGTATTGAAATGTTCCACCTGTTTCATGGCTGGTGCTTTTCCTCTTTCAGGTTTGACATCTACAGGAAGGTGCCAAAAGACCTGACACAGCCAACCTACACAGGGGCCATTAGTAAGTAACTTCTTTTTCATGTCCTTGCATAGCCCTGGTCTAAAATTAAAGATTGTTTGGCCTCTCTGTCTGCAGAGAATTCTTTTAAAGGGATGTTAAACATTGGAAAGGGTGTCCTTTGTTGCTGAGGCAGCTTGTTCTGCCCATCAAACAGTGGAATGGTTTGTGTGAATTCAGAATTGAAGCATGGTTTGGGTTGGAAGGGGCCCTAAAGAGCCTCCAGCTCCAGCCACTGATAGGGATCCACTCTCACTGCCATGTATCAATACACAGACTTTGGCTGATACACATCTCTTGCCTTGGGCCCCTTTTCCTTCCTTCCTGCTCCTGAGGGAGGCTGCAGGCTGAGTAATGCCATTTCACACAATTATGTGCAGCGAGCTGGCTGGGCAGAGGGCTTGGTAAACATTGATCAGGCTGATCCTGCCGGGCCTGATCCTGTCATTACCCTGCTCATGCAGCTTTCCTGTCCCTCTGAGCAGGGACTTCCTTTGATCAGGGAGCTGTGCCCCACTCAGCCATGCTGGTAGATGGGTCAGTAGTCTTGTGTGTCACTGCTGACGTGAGTGATGTCACATCCCTTGGTGACAGCACGCAGGACTGAGTCAGTGCCAGTGAATCAGGACACAAAGGAAAGCCCTCTGTGAGCTGGAGAAACTCCTGGCTGTGAGCATGGTTGAAGAACAGGTTGTCCAGGGTGGTGTGGAGTCTCTGTCCTTGGGGATGCTCCAAACAACCAGAGCTGGCCCTGAGCAACCTGCTCAGAGCAGGGGAGTTGGATGGGATGGGCTCCAGAGAAGTCCCTGCCAGCTCAGCTATCCTGTGTTCTGTGAAGATTACGCTTCTCCCTAAATATTTACCTTCAGAGTCCTTGTCCCCTGAGTTCTCCTGGCCACTGAATTACTTGTATCCCAACTCCCATGTGGGTTTGCTGAAGTTGTGAACAAAGAGCTTGACTCAAACTGTTTGGGAATTCAGGGGCGGATGAGATTTAGTGTTTTGAAAGAACACTTTGAACTTGTGAGTGATCCTGCCTTCTCTTCTGTTTTGGAAACTAAGAGTTCCCACACTGCCACTGGGCTCCCTTTGAGAATTTCTCTTGTTATGAATCACCTGCAAAAGAGTATTTTAGAAGCAAAAAAAACCATCAAAGGCCACCAGAGTTTAGGCTTTCAGATCTGCAGTAAACAGCTCAAGTGATAAGTCTCTTGTGGGAAGGCTTCAAGGTTGTGACTCTTACAATTATTAGTTGACTTATTTTTCTCTATTGTTATTTACAGCTTCTCAGGCTTTGATTTTCTTCTCTAACTGGTTCTCCTTCTTTTTCTCACAGTGTTTTTAGGCAGCCTGATAGAAGCTTCTGAACCCCACAGGCAGCCAACAAACTGGTGGCTTTGCCTGTGAGGATCTTGTGAGCAGCTTTTCTAATGGGCTTTTTTCTGTCTGACCAAGCCTGTGGCTTGTAATTTGAAAGCCACTAATCTTAGGTGTTGTAGGAGGCCATGGATGAGACCAGCCCCTTGCCAGGCCAGTTGGAAGCCTGGGAAGGTTGCATGACCTGGTGAAAAATTGCTTTAGGGAAGTCAGCCTGTGTTAACACTGGGAGCTTGAGTGCAGGAGAAGGTTCTGCCTCTCAAAAAAGCTCTTAGATTTTAGTAGTCATGTGGAATTACTGTGACTGCAACTTTATTTTGGCTTTCTTTAAGTCCTCCAAATTTTACAGAGCAGATATAAAATAGTCCATGATATCCAACTATTAATTTAGGCCTTTTCCATATGATTTCTGATGAAACCTTAGTTCAGTATCACTTCTGGTGCTGAAGGCTTTCTGGAATAGGAATGGACTTACTGCAGGGTTTCAACTGTGGCTTTTGGATTGTATAAAGGTCTATTTTCAAAAACAAAGGTTGAGGTTCATTAGGGAAGAAGGCACAGATCAGATTACAGAAGAAAAGAGGTGGAAGAGAACAGCTCTGCTCACCAGGGCTGAAGGGGCCAAGGCTCTCAGGGAAGAAGCAGCTAAGAGAGAGTGTTGGGGGATTTTGAGGGAGAAGAGCAGGTGATCTCAAACATGAGCAAGCTCAGAGCCAGCTGGAGTTATTGAGGCTTTCTTAGGTGTGGATTTTTAATTCCCAAATTTGCAGTGAACGCTGCATACAAGGTACTTCAGATCTGTGTGCAAGCCACTCAGCTACAAACAATTTTTTTTTTTTAGGAGTGAAGAAACCAAGAATTTACTTATAGTGAGGTTTGTCCAGAACAACACAGCCACTGCTGTGGACTTCTCTGGGAAGTGTGTAGAAGTCACTCATTCCTTTTCCTCAATAAAACTCCCTTCTTCAGGCAGCATCCCTGTCGTGCTGTTGTCCCTCTTCCACCAGTTTTTGCAGGTGTGTAGCATGTCTGTGGTGCCACTGTGACAGACGTGGTGACAGCCTGGCCATGTTTGGGTACAGAGGCAGCAGCAGCACTCCTGGCTGGCTGACAGTTGGCATCTGGCTGGACAGGAGCAGTGGGGCTCTGGAGGGGAGCCTGCAGCCCAGGCAGCTGCTGGCACCATCCTGCTCCCCAGCCATCGGTGTGGATGCATAGTTTGCATGCACATGTTGTATGCACACATGGAAACGTTATCCAGAAATACTCTGTGCTGTTTGGGGGCTGGAGTTTTAAATACACATCAGGAAATATCAAAGTTATGATTCACATGGCGCCTGTAACAGGACCCGTTCCTTGTGCTTCATAACAGTTTGCTCCACTGAATAATAAATACTATTAATTTTATGCCTTAATATAGACATGGCTCCATGTTCTCAGTCTGTGTGATGTGTTAAACGCTTTGCCTTTCTCTCATTTCTCGTGGGGTGGGGAGGCAGAGCCAGGAATGTACTCACACGGGGTTTGTAGTGGAAGGGATAAGTACAAAAAGGTTAGTGCAGGAATCAAAACCTTGGCAGAGTTCCCCATCCTTTTGGGATTGCAGATTAGCAGTGTGTCTACAGCAGCAACCTTTGATATATTGATCATGTTATCATATTAGAGCTTTAAAAAACCTGTCTCAGATGTTGTTGGAGCTCTGTGGGAACGTCGCCGTGCTCCTGCAGTTAACGAAGCTTTGTGCATGAATTGTTTGATTCTGTCTGATCCCAGCCTTTAATCTACTTTTCCAAATATAATACACTTGTCAAATGTGGGTGGAAGGACTGCACATTTGCATGGAAGCAGGTAAAAGCCTTCTCTGTGAAAGGAGCAGCTGAAGCACCCCGTGCATAAATTCTGTCATCTGTGCCTGCAGCTCCACGCTGAAAGAGGAGCTCCTGTTCTGCAGCTGAAGAAATGCTGCCTCTGGAGAGAGTATCTGATAGTGCTGGCACACGAGTCTCATGCCAAAAACTCCCCCTGCCCTGGAAATGTGTGTGTATAGGAAGAGTTTAGTAGTGCAGTGTCCTCTTTCCCAGTGTCCTGCAGCAGATGCTGAGAAAGAGCAGGAGGGGCAGGTTAAACACTTCACCAGGCTTTGCTCAGTTGGCTCCTGAGCTTCCTAAGCTGGAGCTTCCTTTGTGTTTAGTATCCCTCGATGGATTTCTTCCTCAGGGCATGTATGATTCCTTTTTGTAACCTAGCAGGTTTTATATCTTATGCAACCTCAGCATCTGTAGTCAGGAATCCTCAGAATTTAGTTGTGTAAAGGAAAACCTTCCCTTGTTTTTGACCTCCCCTTTCCATGTAGTTCCCATACTGAAAGAGACAGTGAGTGGTTGTTCCCCACTCACCTCCTTCAGGCTGCTCATGATTTTATATCCCCCTCTTATGTCCAGCCTCAGTATTCTCTTTTACAGCTTCAAAACTGACTCTGTGGTTTGAAGACTGGGAAAAGCATTGAGGAGCTTTGAAAGTCGGTCCCTGCCAGGCACTTCAGGGCATTCTTGCAGGGTTTTTTAGATATAGGTTAGTGGAATTTTACTGTGCTGTGTTTGGTAAGTATTGTCACGAACCTTCACTGCAAGAGCTGAACTGAAAATGGACTTGAGGGAGCAAGTACTGGAAAAGAAGGTATTTTGATTATATAAGTAGCAGAGAAGGAAGTTTAAAAATTGGAAGGGAGAGGAAGCTGTGGGAGAGAATTTAGTTAAGAGAGTTAGTGGTAGCAGGCTTTCCTAGAAGTGCTTGAGAGCAGAAAGGTCTGGCTGATGCTGTGGAAAGCCTTTATGGGATTATAACAAGCAGCAAGGAATATGGGAAGGATTGAAGAAAAAAGGGTTGTCTGCATCAAACACTCTCCCTGCAACTGCCAGAGATCAGAGATCTCGTGTCTCTGTCACTGATCAGCACTACAAACACTGGATCTCCTCATGTGCTGCCTTGGTTTCTTTTTTTGGGCTCTTATGTAGGTGTGGATGTTCTCACAAGAATTTGCTGCTCTGCTTTAAGCAGAGCTTTCTCCTGGTGCCCCGTGCCAGGGCTCAGCTGGGTCACAGCCCTGGTGACTTCTGTGTCCTGACAGCCAAGGCTTGGGAGCAACTGTGTGCCCATCTGAGGTTTCTCTTCAGGAATTAATATCCATTCTTGCTTCCTGTTTTCCTACTGGTCTTTGGGCGCTTTTTTTCATCTCTCTCTTGCTCCTAGCTGCTGGATTTTTTGGCATCTTTGTTAATCCCTTGCACTTCAGAGTGGGTCAATAAATGAATCCACAGTTGAAATTACTCTGATGAGGAAGGGGAAGCGACGCATTTCTCTTTCCTCAGAGCTGGAAGAATGAGGCACAAGGCTTTAGGTCACTCAAGGCTCTGTCTCAGTACTTGCCCTCAGCGCCTCTTTCCTTCCCTTGCCTCTCACATTCTTTACCAAGGAGTGATAAAATTGTTCCCAGCCTGTTGTTACTTGAGCTTCCCGAAGGAATGGGCAGTCAGGCTGTACAGGTCATGTGGAATAAAGTTGAAGAACATGGCTTTTTTTTTTTTTTAAATGTATTTCTCAACCCTAATTAGTGGCTCTGGCAGAGTGGTCATTTCACAGAGGGCTGTGCTGGGTTGGAGGGGTTGTGCTGGGATGGTGCTCTGGCTGTCAGTTCCTGCTTTGCCCTTCTGTGAGTGATTCATGTGAATTTGGGTATTGTATTTAACACAGGGACACACTGCAGCCCTGTCCCCTTGAGCTGGCACATCCTTGCCTGCTCCAGTCATCCCTGATCCACAGGATTTACAGCTGTGCTTCCTTCCAGCCCCTCCTGGGTGGGTGACTGTCACTGCTGCTTCAATGCCCCTGCTCAGGGCTTGGAATAATTTCCTGGGGAAGAACAAAGAGTAAAATTCCAGCTACTCTGGGCTCCCTCCATGCAATTCCAGGTTGGAATTCCTAGAAATTGTTGTCTGGGTACCTCACAATTCCTTCAGTGGGGATTTTCCCTCTCTGCAGAGTCAGTTTGTCAGCAGATGGAGAAATGAGAGAAGTCAGGCACTGGCTGCACAATTCCAATATTGCCACGTCTCTGCTGTCCAGCTCTGAGGAGCCTTACACAGAGCTTTGGAACCTGACAGAGAGCCCAAATGTCTCCTGATCCCCAAAACACTGTGCTAGGGGACTGTGTCCTTTCAAAGCAAGGAGGTGCTGGTTTCTTTTTGCCTTCGGGAGGTTTGAATAGTGATAAAATTGGGAGCCAAGGCTCCAAAGTGATGTTGTCAAGAAGAGGGAGTGCTGGCAGACCAGCATTGTGTGCTGAAGGTGGAGAGTGCAGGAGCTGTGGGGAGATGGAAATCATGACAGAAAAAGTGGCCCAAAAATAGAAGATATCCCTGTTCCGGGTCATTAATTATTAAGCCAAGGGATGCTCGTATTTTGACTGCAAGAGGCAAGGAAATTAAGATGAGGTTTTTCTAGATAATCTCACTTATGAGCAGAATTAAGACGTGCTTTTGGTAAGTCCCAAGGGGATGCAGTGGTCACTATTTTATGTGAATTTGAGGGCTTTTATTTTTTTTCTCTTGTGTGCAGAATCTTCTAGAGTTTGCTCAGTGGGAAAGACACAAGTTTGATATTTATGCATTCATAAATTAATAGAATTTTTAATGGTTCCTCAGGAGTTTTGGATATTGGCATGGTATTGAAGTCACTGCTCTGGTGGGCTCCTCTGGGTCATGAACTCTAAAAATTGTTAATTCTCAGTTGTGTATGGGGGGCATATCCATAGGGGCAGTGATATGGCTGTGTGAAAACAGTTTTTGTCTTTGTTAGACATACTAAACTAACCTTTTCCTCTCCTTGCTTCTCTTCCAGTCTCTGTCTGCTGCTGTCTCTTCATATTGTTTCTCTTCCTGTCTGAGCTCACCGGATTCATAGCCACTGAAATGTAAGTAAAAGTCATGTTTTCCCCTGTTTGTGTGGATGGGAATCTTTACAGCTTTACTGTTATCTGAGAGAAATATTCCTGTCATTTCACTAGGTCATTTAGTTGCCTAATGGGTTTGGGATTCCTTTAGGTTGAGTCCGAATTCTCAGACAATCATTCAGCTTTTTAATTTGTTAAAATTAATAGGCAAACTTGGTTCTGAACTATTTTTGATAGAGGAAGCTGCTCCAGACTTGCTTGATCCTTTATTAGCTGCATGCTGCATTGCATAATTAACAGCATGGAGAAATGGATTGCATCAAATAAGAATTATTAATTTAATATCAATAATTGCTTTTTTTTATGATGTCAGAGCTGAATCTCTGATTCATGCAGGTAGTTTTATTAATGTGTGAATTTCTTCTTCTTTTGTTGACCCTTACTAGGAAACCTTATTCACAGGTTTTGTACCTGAGGATAAGTTGCCCCAGGTGGTGACAGCTGTGAGAAAGAGGGAAATAATTTCTACTTTTAAAAATTGCTCATTGAACAAGTATGAAGTACTTATTAACAGCGAGTTAATCAGAATTTTATTTTTTCCCCCCTGTTCTCATGTTCTTCCTGCCTCAAAGTAAACTTTTAGTAACTCTTAACACATCTGTCTTTGTTCTGGGCTCTAGGAAACCTTCTCCATCACCCTGCTGATGTGGCAGTGAGCTCAGAGTGTGAGGCACAGTTCCTGGATAGCTGGGAAGAGTGGAACTTCTGTCAGGCTCACATGATGGTCCTGATAGCAACAGATGTCAGTGCTGAGCTAAAAGGCTCTGAAACCTTGCTTAGATTTTGATAACCAAGAGGCTCTTCCATTGTTTTTGTGCATCTCTGTCTTGGATCAGAAGTATAATTTCAGGAATAATGTTAATGTTGACTAATGTTTAACTGAAGGCAGGAGTGTAATCAAGCTCGAGATCATTTTTTGTGCCTGTTGCACGTTTACTTCAGAGATGGTATCTCAGTTTTCTTGCTTGCTCACAGTTTCTTTGACTTCAGTTCCGTGTGTTTGCTTGTGAAATCCGGGGTCACCTTATCAGCCACTTCACAGAGCTGAGTTTCCTTGGGTTTCTTGTTTTAAAAAACAAAAAAGCTAGACAGACTGCTTCAAGTAAAGCACTGCTTTTTCTTGCTCTCCTCTTAGATCTCATTCTCTTGCCTGGTTTTCTTTTTTCTTTCAGTTAATACTTTACAGGAGGAATTAGTAATATTTACCTAGTTTTGACCCAGTTATTGGAGAGCACATCTCTATCTAGTGGCAGTTTTCTCTCTAGAAATTCCTTTTTGAACAGCACAATTGCATAATTCTCTGAGGCCTCTTCTTGCTTTTTTCTAAAGATGATGCATTTTCCACAGAAATATTGGGAAGTGCTGTAAGCACGCTCAGCTGACAGGTTCCTCACTAAAACCTCAGAGAGATGGTGAAGTGCCTTTCCCAGCAGGAGCTGCTTGGGGAGGAGGTGTTTGCAGGCAATAAAGGAGTAAAATTTGAGAGAGGATGTCATACAAGAGTCTGGGACAAATGACTGCAGGAACCTGATTCGTCATGGACTGTCCAACACAAAAGCTCACACAAAAGAGTAGGAAAACCTCCTTCTGATGAGTTACAAGTCACCAGACTCTTGCTGGGAACATTGACCCCCAGCACTTGTGAAAATGCTCTCCCAGAACAGCGGAAATAGTTCAGAAAGTCACTTCAAGTCCTTCCCAGTTCAGCGACTTCGAAAGCAGGAGTAAACTTTTATTTTCCATTTCTTACTCATTGGTTTCTCTTCTGAGAAACCCAGTAGAAGTTGTTGTGAGCCTCTTGTGGTTCCCTTTCAGTCAGGTATTACTGGCAGTGTGTTGTGAGGCAGCAGAGCCTCATCACTGGGAATAAGAATTGGGAGTTCTGCGTGGTCTGGAACTTGTGAGAGCTCTGTGCTGCCATTAAACTGGGTAATAGCAAATAACAGGGGAAATAATGTCTCAGAAAGTTTTCTGAGCCTTGTTTGCCCATGATCCAAACACAGATATGTGAAGATTCCTTATGTGCAAACTGTTCAGTTCTCATCAACTTTTATTGCAAGCTTCAAGGGGTTTTTTTAGCATTAAGAGTCTCCTACAACAGATACCTCACCCAGATTGAAGTTTCCCAATGCCAGGCAGGACCTGAGTGCTTACAGGTCTGCAGTTACATGGGATGAACTTTCCTGCTTTGTCACTGCCAGCTGTGCTGTGAGACTGCATCACTCTTTCTCCTTTTGTGTCATATTTCCCTTAAAGCCCTTGAGAGAGCCAAGCTGGGTGGGGAGAACTGCACAATTTTGATGACAAGGTGAGCACTTGGCCTGGTGTTTTACATCAGAGACGTGGCAGGTTCCCTGCTGAGCACTCCTGCTTCCCTCAGAGCCTGTTCCAGGGAGTTATTTTGTGTGTGGGGTGTGTACAGGGACAGCTCCTTCAGGGCAGTGGTGCCCACAGGATTCCCTGTCTCACTCAGCACCGAGAGCTTCCCTGGGTGGCTGCACCACAAGCAAGAGGTTGGTGTGGTTTGTTAAGCTTGTGCTGCAACATGAGAAAAGAAGAATCTGCTCTGCACCACACTGACCCCAAATCCTCACTGGCTCTGCCCACTGCTGGACTTTCTTCCACGTTCCCAAGAGTGCAGCAGCCTCAGTGCCTGGTCCTACTCGAAATCTCGGTTTGGCCGCTCTTGCCCAACTTCAAAGCTGTTTTTCCTTGACCAGCCCGTTGTGGTAGCATTTACAGTCTCAGCTGCTGAAGGCTTGTCTGGGTGGCAGAGAGCCAAGAAATGACACCCTCATCTCGAGGATCACAGTCATAGCCCTCAACCCAAACATTACCTGTGTGGGGAGGACGGCAGCTGTGTCATAACTCGTGTGGGCATTTCTAATGAGCGCCGGGGCTGTGTCTGTGCTCAGGAGCTGACTCCAGTTAGGAAGTCAAACCAAGACACTGCAGGAAGCTCGTGGAAGAGGTAACACACTCTAAAGGCATGTCCTATTCTGCTGCTGACGGGTTTCCTGGGGAGACCAGCCCTGAGGAGGATAGAAAACTCCCGAGTTGCTCATCTTCCAGATTTATCGTGTGACCCTAACAGTCCTGTGAGCAGCCATGAAGGAAATCCAAGCTTGGCACTTAGGTGGGGCTGCATCCTTCCCAGGAAAAGCACAGTGAAGGGCTGGTGAGGGAAAAGAGCTTTTTTCTTTTCTCAGTCACAACCCATCATTGCCATTAAGGGGAGGGTGAGTTTAACTCTGAAAGTCAAGGATCCTCTTGATTTTCAGTTTTTGTTTAGTCCAGACTGAGAGTGACTGAAGACTTAGTCCAGACTTCAGGTATTGGAACGTTCTCATCCCTGGAGGTGTCCAGAGAACACCTGGATGTGGCACTCAGTGCTCCAGGCTGGGTGAGAATTGGGGATGGGTCACAGGTTGGACTCGATGATCTTGGAGGTCTTTTCCAACCTAAGTGATTACATAGCAAGAACCTTGATGAATCTCCTCAATTCTCCTCACAGAAAAGGTCTGTGCTCCACGTTTGAACCTCTGAAAGATGAACAGCATCAAACACTCTTGTCCCATTGAGCCAATGACTCAAATGGCTGAAGAAATTAAGATGAAGGGTTAAATGTGTCTGGTTTCTCCTGGGCAAGACCAACAGCTGGTTGAGTTGAGAGCAGTCTGAGAGCTAGAAATGGCTTGTTCTGCCTTTAGCAGCCTCCTCATTCCTCTGCTGCTGTGTTGCAAATCAGAAGCATAGAAATCACCCCTCTTTTCTAATTAACTCAGATCAACGCTAGACGTTAATAGCTGGCAAGATGATAATCTCACCGTTTTATCACCCTAATTAGGTCATGAATTATGTCCTGTAAGATCAATAATAGTTTTCCAAGTATTCCATCATTAAGGATTAAAGATGTAATTAACTAATCTAGTCTGCCTTGCATTGGCAGCCAGGGGAAGGGGTAGGAGGGTATGAATGTGGTGCTTGTGGTATGAATGTTTCTGCTCAACACTAATTCATCTGCCACAGCACACTGTAGGAAGCAACAGACTGTTCCTGGCAGTGTTTGCTTTTTTTTTTAATGTAATAACAGACAAAAACCTATCTGAAGTGACAAATTTGCTAATTGGAAAGCTGAGCCCCCCGCAAGGCAATTAATTACTTAAGCAGAATATATGCAGTAAAATTACTGCCTTTTCATGAAAGCATAAACCATGAATCACAGAGTCACAGAATATCCTGAGCTGGAAGGGACCCACTAGGGTGATCAAAGCCCAGTTTCTGGCCTGAAACAGGATAGCCCCAAGAAGGCTGTCAGGAGTGTGGGAGGAAGCAAAACTCCAGGAGTTTCAGGGAGCAGTGCTCCTTGTCCACACTGGATTCATTTGCATGCCCAGGACTGATCCTGCAGAGCAGCAGGATTGTCACCAGACCTGTCTTCAGAGGATTTTTATCCCCCAGCTCTCCAGAGTGTGTGGGGTGTGTTTTGTGGCTCTCAGCCCATGGAAATGGTACCAAGCCAGCAGAGTGTGATCCAGCTGCAGCAGGGATTCCTTCTGCTGCAAACCCTAATCTGGGAGCACAAGCCCAGAGATGCCACAATTCCCATGTCCTGCCACTGAGCTGGGGATGCACCTCCAACCCTGCTGGCTCATCCATTTGAGGCTGCATTGGAGCCAAGCAGCCCAGGAAAAGGAAATTGGAGTTGTAATCCTGCTCCTGCCACGGACTGACCTTGAGACAGAGACTTTGCTGCAGAAGGATGTAATCCCCAGCAGCCCTGAGAGAGGTAGGCAGGTAAGAAGCTTAATTGATGTTTGTGAGGCGAGGTGGGGATTACCTAAGAGGAGGTGGCAGAGGTTTGTGCGGGGTTGCTGTGCCCTGTGTGGGCTTGCAGGAAGAGGAAGGTCGTGTCATGATGTCATTTGCAATTCCTGACTCAAGTCTACATTGACGTCTTTCGAACCCTTCTCCTTCTTCCTGTCTCCTGGAGAGCTGTAATTCCTTCCTTTGTAGGGCAGCGTGTTTGCTGTGCTCCACAGCTGATCTGGGACAAGCACCTTCCCACTGAGGAGCTGATTGGGATGCAGAAGATGACAAATGTCAGAGCGACAGACGCATGACGCAGTGGAGAGTTTGCTGACCTGCTTCTTGTTGGTTCTTCACACAAATGGAAATGAAGATTTGTCCAATGCTCTCTGCTCTGCACCACTGAAAACGTGGTGATGCAGGAATCTCAGCGTTGGAGGGTTGTGTTTCTGGAAGGTGTTTGATTAGAGCTGAAAGGGCAAGTGGAGCCAAGAGGCTTCACCTGAGAAAGGCTTTTGAGAAGCTTTGGGCTTCCTCAAGAAAGAATAATTATTTTCCCTCTTAGGCATGGGGTCCTGGAGATCAGAGGGTGCCTCCTGGGAGTTGGAGGACAAGGTAGAGTACAGCTTTCTGGAGGAAATAGCTGTATTTTCTCTGTGGCTGATGACTGAGGAGGAGGCTGGCTGGCTGTTTGCTGTGAAAAGGGGAGAAAAAAGGCTAAAACCTGAAGCAGGGACGTGGGACAAGTAGGACATAAGACAAGGCAGACTAGAGAGCAGCCACACAGTGTGTGAAGCTCTGGAAGGTGGATGCAGTGCCCACCCTCAGATCCAAAGGCTCTTCAGCTGTTGACGTGCTGAAGTCAGTGGCCAGAGCTGCTGGGTGGAAAGAAGTTACTGTGGACGTTTTGTTTCTGGGGAAACGAAGCTGTTGTGTCATAAATCTGAGACCTAAAGCACAGGGAACAGGTCTGACTTTCTTTGGATAAAACCCTGAAGCCATGGCGTGCCCTCTGGCTGCTGTGGCCCCCTTTCCTTGGCTCTCACGTGCCATTGGCATGATCTGGCCCAAGGGTCCCTCCAGCTTTCTGCCTGGAACGCTGCAAGTTTGTAAGCAGATGGGGTAAGCAGCCCAGCAGCATCACTCAGGAATGTGAAGTATTTCCAAGTGGCTCTTTCTAGAAGTGAAGCAGATTCCTGATGTGTGGATCATGGAGAAACTTCCCTGCTGTTCCTGGGGTCAGTGGTGGGAGGCTCTGTGGGGGTGGCAGCTCCAGCTCTCACCTGTCGTGTTGCGCTCGTTGTACTTTCAGAGCTCTGCACCCTCATCCTCCTTCACTGTGCTGCTTTTATTCAAATATTCCTTAGTAGCAGCCAGGGAAACACCAACTCCTACATGTTTGGAGAAGGTACACCCTGCCTTTGGAGTCACAATATGACCAACATCACTGCCTCCCTCTGCCTGGCCTCAGGTTTTATTTCCCTTGTGACCATCCCTGATTTACTGTTAAAGCACTGTTCCTCCTGGGACACTTTGTATTCCAGCACAGACAGCTATAAATTAGAGTCAACTTCTTTTCTTCCACCAGAGGCCTTACTCCTTCAGGGAGAGTGGCCAGAGGGGGTAAATAGTGTTTCTCCTGACATCCCAGGAGAGTCTGATTAAATGGTAGGAAGGCTGTGTGCAATTTGGCTTGGTGGCCCTGGGGAGGAGGTGGCAAGGGACATGTGGATGCCAACCCTTTGCCACCCCAACCTGGGTGCCAGTGGTTCACTGGAAGGAATAGCCTTGACCCTGGAAATTTGCATTACCTCTGAGATTTCCAGAATTCCAATACTCCAAATATTTGAGGAGAGGAATGGCCAGTTTGTTGAAAACAAAATTTCTTGTAAGGTTTGCCCTACCAAGTGCAGCCTGTGGTGTGTGGTTCCCCATGGTGAGAGGGAATATCAGTGACACACAAAGGATGCACTTTGCAGCTGGATATGTCAGTTTGGGCCCTCAGCAGGAGCTGACCGTGCCATGAGGAGAGTGGCTGGACTGGGAGGGAGAGCAGGATCCAGCTGGGTGGGTGCTCCATGAAAGGTGAGGCTGCAGGTTGAAATGAGGGGAGCAAAGGAAGGATCTGCTGTATGAGCTGCCTGATGTCTGTGCAGTGATAGATTGGGTTGTGAAATTTGCAACATGAGTAGGAGAGGGGCAGGGGGCTACTGGGTGAAGAGGAGGAGGAGGAAGGTGAGCCTTGCCCAAGGGACAGGTTGGAAGCCACTGGTCCAGTGACCGGACTGCGGGACAGGAAACCAGTTTCCTTCAGCTGCTGCTAATGGGCTGTGTGACCTGCACAAGCTGCCCTACTTCTCTGTGCCTCAGTGAGCTCAGCACTTGCCTTCCTATGTCAGAGCTCCCATGGGCTCCCCGTGCAGTTCATCCTCTGATTTCTGCCAGAGAAATCAGAAATTTCTTTCTCACTCGCTCATCACCGAGCGGCTCCTGCGCCTTCGCTGCTGGAGCCTCACGATTTCTGACAGGTTCAGGGTTAGAAATCAGCAAATACAAACACTGACTGTGCTAGGGCTTTTCTCCAGAGAGCTGGGATGTTCTGCTGGACCTGACTGTGCTCTGCCAGCCCTGCTGTGAATGCTCCTTTAGCCAGGAATGCCAAGGTGCCTGTGGCATCTCTGGGCATCTCAGCCAGCTCGGTGCTGGGAGGGAGCCAGGGGTTCTCAAATGGGCTGGAGCTGGGAAATGGATGGGAGCACTGGGGCAGCACTGAGAGGTGCCTTGCTCTGGGGGATTAGTGCCCATCCTGGCCGGAGCTGCTCCCTATTTGGATATATGACTTAATCCAATCTGCCCAATCTGTCAGTAATGAACACGTAGAGGAGAGAATGCATTCCACCCAGGAGGAGAGGGCTCAGCCAAAAAGCTGCTAACTAGGTCACTGATGAGCAATCTTTCCCCTCCCTCTGTGTCATTTTTATTAATCACTTGAAAAATAGGTTGAGTAATGATTGCAAGCAACTTGTCAAGCCAATTAAAAACAGAGAAAGGTAGGGCTGTGAAGCCGAAGACAAATGCTGTGCTGGTTTTAAATGAGTGTCTGTAAACCCCACTGACCTGTGAGTAATAGCCTCCAAAAAACCTGGCAGCATGTGTGTTTCTCAGTGTGAAGGTTTGTTTCTTTTGCATCCACAGGGCAAACAGTTCACCGTGGCCCAGAGATGTATCAGCAGAGCAAAATCACTTTGAATTGTCTTGTAGCTGCCTTAGTGTGCTTTGACTCTTAGCATGTGGAGTCTCCAGTGGGGCTTGTCAAAGAGTTTAGTGCACTTTGAATGTAAAATAAAAATGCTACAGAGCACTTACTCGTTTTATTTTATGTAATTTGCCTGAATCTAAGTTCCCATAGCTTTATAATCTGCCCAGCTGGAAGATAAATTGTCAAATTTTATTTGTTGAAGAGGGAAAAGAGCTTCTAGATAATCTCACCAACCTCTCAGTTCAGTGGGGTGAGTCTCTCCAGAGTGGATTCTCCAGAACCATTCAGCAAATTCAGCACTGGGGTTGTTTTGGTTTATTTTTACGTGTCGGATGGATTGTGTGTGCCAACAATAAATATTTATACTCCTGCATTCCTGTGCCTCTCTATCTGTGTTTTGTCTCCTGTGAGATGCGTGCCAGCACTGTGGGTGCTATGAGACAACATTACTCTTTGGGAGGCTGCTGTAGAGTGTGTGAGATCCTGCTGTCCAGGATGTTTCTTTCCATCTGTTCCTGGCTCAAATCCCCTTCTCCTCAATTTTAGTCACCACTTTTGGTTACCATTCATAGCCTGAAATGTGATATTAAGGAGAAGAATACAAATATGTCGTGCTGCCTTCCTTCTCTTGCTGCTGCTCTGTCAGCTGGGTGGCAGTAACAAAAGGCAATTAGTGACACAAATAAGCTTTCCTGGGGGTAGTTGAGAGCAGCCTTTCTCTAGAACTATTTGTGGCACAAATGGAAAAACACATGCTTCCCTCCTGCCTAAAAGGAGTAGCAGCCAGGGGAGGGCAGGGGTGGATCAATAACCTGCCATCTCTTCAGCATTAAGCTTTTGTTTTGTAGCACCTCTGAAACCTCAGGGTGGAGGAGGCTACAGGAAGCACAGAACACAACAGAAGATTTATTTTTTACTAGTGCAGAACTTGTTTAAAACCCCCTGCCCTTGCCAAGCAAGAAATCAAATTAAGCCATGATTTGCCCCCATTCCCTCCTGGAGAGCTTTCCCTTCTCTCTGTAACTCTGTTGTAGCCATCACACAATCAAACCTCCTCTTTCCAGTCTCCTTTTCCCCCTCCCCATGCAGGTTTTGGGTTTTCCCTGTGGGAAGCAGCCCTGTGCCTGAGCCCACCTGTGTTTTTTCCCTCCAGAGTTAATGAGCTCTACGTGGATGACCCAGACAAAGACAGTGGAGGGAAAATAGAAGTGAACCTGAACATCAGTTTGCCAAACCTGCACTGTGAATGTGAGTACCCCTTCACTCAGCAGCTTTTCTTTGTGCTTTGAGTAATACTTGAAATGGGCCCAGACTGGTACAGTGGCCTTGTTCTGTAACAGGATGGAAATAAGTAGTTGCAGCCTCTGCCAATATCCCATTGCTTTCTGTTCCAGGCCAGGGCACCTGTTTTCTTGGACCATGTGTTAGTGGCTGATCTCCTTCACTGGCTTCTTTATGAATCTCATTTCCTTTTTTTAATTTTTTTTTTAATAGCAACCTTTTTGTGTCTGGGAGCAAGAAGCCTCCCAAGTTCCATTTGGAACTCTGAATGCACCAGCTGGTTGTTGGCCCTTCCCAGGTCACCTGCCTTGTCTGCCTAAAATTTTTCTGTTTGTGTGATTGGGATTGCAGCTGGCAGGACACGGGAGGTGTATTTGTGTCAAATAGGCAGCGTGAAAAGTTTGGTTACAAAGCTTTTCTGGTGTAACAATTTTTCACAAAGGACATTATCACCTCAGTTTAGTCAAATGTCAGGAAAAAAGGTATGGATTTTTTTCAAGTAAAAGCAATACATACTTTTGCTATGCAACCTTCCTGTTAGTTATTTTGTTTTTTGGTCTTTTCCCTCCCACCCCTGCAGTGGTTGGACTGGACATCCAGGATGAAATGGGAAGGCACGAAGTGGGTCACATTGACAACTCGATGAAGATCCCTCTCAATAATGGGGATGGCTGCAGGTTTGAGGGCCATTTCAGCATCAACAAGGTGAGTGGCACTGACAGTGGGTGAGGGTGGGGAAATGCTGGCAGGATCCATTTGTAAAAATGAAAATTTGGAACTCTGTGTCTGTCCTGCCGTGTGTGTGTTTATGACCCTGATCAGACAGAAATTCAAGTCAGTGTGGGGAGAGGAGGCTGCGTGGCCAGACCCACAGGGAATGTGTTAGATCAGGGGTTTTCTCCACTCTTCAAAGCAGGTCATGGAGACAGAATTGCTGATCAGGGAGAGCAGCTCTGTGCAGCAGCCCAGTGTTCAGGGGATGTGTGAAAGCCCTGCAGGTGCCAAAGGGCTTCTGTGTTTACTCCTCACGACTTCTGCACCTCCAAAACCTGACTCAGTGTGGAGAGGTCCTTGGCAGTGGCTGCATCCCAGCTCTCCTTTGTTCTGAGAGCTGCAGAATGACAGGAATGTTCCCTGCTGGAGGGTGCCAGGGCTCCGTGCTGGGATGTTTGGAATACAGCACGTGGCCCCACGCATGCTTGCTGGGGATGCTCTGCTTCTGTCTCAAGGAATGAAAATCCAGGCCTGGAGGAGGCTCCTCTTTGGGATGGGTGTGTTCAAGATTGAATAATCTTGCTATGTAATGCTGGAGATGACTTGCTGGGGTGGGGGAGGCACTGGTGGGACCCGCTGATGTCCTAAGAAGGGCACACCCTTTGTTCACTGCTCTCCATGTACCACAGGCTACACAAAATCCTACTTCCTTCTTTTCCTCCCAGGTCATGTTAAAGCACATCTAAAAATAACAGACAGGACCTCTTGCTGATTCTGTGGCATGGAAAGGATTAGGGATTTAAAAAGAGTAGTTTTTCCTCATCTCCAAGCCACCAGGATCGCTGGCAGCTGGTAGTCTACAAAAACTGGGAAAGGGCTTCTGGAAAGGTAGTTCTTGTCCAGGCAATTCCCAGAGCACAGAGCTGAGGTACCTGGGGGTTTGTCTGCTGGATGTGGTGTGTCCTGCTCACAGAGCAGCTGCAGAAGTGGGTGCAGGATGTGGCAGTGAGGAGGAGCTTCCTCCAGTGCTCATTTGTGTCTCCTTTGGTGGTGGGACAGCTGTCACAGGCAGGGAGCTGGCCCAGGACTTCTGGCTCTGGAAACCCAAATCTCTTGTGTGTGACCTGGCAGTCTGCAGTCCCTTGGCAGGAATTGGACAGGCTGAGCTGGAGTGGGACCTGGCCAGCCCTGGGAACTTGACCAAGGCTTGCACTTGGGTGTTGCTGTCCCAGCTGCCGAGGGAGGACAGGGTGACACTGAGATGATGGCTTGTGCTGCTTGCTGCAGGGCCTGACGCCCTGTTTGCTCAGCTTGTTTGTGACACAGCTGGTGTCCACACCTGAGAGTGTTCCCAGGAGTGCACTGCTGCTCCTCAGGTCATTAAATCAGCTTTCCTGAAAGCACATGGAAGGGCATGTGGCCTCCCATGGCCCTGCTGCTGAGGTGTCTCTGCAGAGAGCATGCTGGGCAGCAGTTGTATAACCATCCTCCCACTCCAGCCCTGGGCTGTGCCACATTGCTCCTCAGGGTTGCTTCATTTCACAACCTTTTCTCAATAGGAAAATGTTCTTGCACCCTCCATGACAGTGATTGAGCTGAATCTGCTGAAGGACTTCAGGGCTAGTGACCTGAAAAGTGTGTGCATGCAGAGTGGTGCCATCAGAGAGACACCAGAGCTCATTTTCCGTCTCGGAACTGAGCCTTTAGGTGAAGGTTGTGTTTTTCAGTTCTTTGTATTTTCCTCCATTAAAAAAATTAAAAGGAAGGGCCCCTGCTAGCTTCTGCCAAGGGGAAGATTTAGTTTAGTTTGTACGGGATGCCCACATGGGTTTGGTGGTGGATTTTCTCTTGATATAAAATTCATTCTTGCACACAATCTCAGAGGCAAAGTTGCTCGTGACTGCTACCAGAAGAGAAATCCATCCCCAGCTTCCTGGGCTGCTCTGCAGCAGAGGGCCCGTTTGCAAATGCCAGCTGTGGGAGTAAGACATTGAGCAAGAGAGACAGGAATTTTATTTTAATAGGGATGAAAGACATAGCCTTAAGTGCTGGGAATCCCTGGAGCTGGCAGTGACCCACTCATCATCCCCAGGTCAGGAACATCAGCAGTGTGGGGATACCAAACTCCGGGGCTGCAGGACCTGAGTGCGGTGGTGTTGCTCAGCTGCAGGAGGGTATCACACATTCTTCCATCTTCCTGGATGGATCCAGCCATTCCCATGTCACCTCACAGAGCCTAGCAATGCCTTGAGGGATAAAATGTGAAATCCTGTCTTCCCTGCTGTGGCTAATTTTAGGTCCCTGGTAACTTCCACGTGTCGACGCACAGCGCGACGGCGCAGCCCCAGAACCCCGACATGACTCACGTCATCCACAAGCTCTCATTTGGGGACAAGCTGCAGGTGAGTCCTGAAAGTTCCCTGGCTGTAGGGGAATGCAGTGAGAGTGGTTTGATATTAGACACTCTGGTTTCATGGAAGGCCTGTGTGTCCCTGCAATGTCAGCTCAAGGCTGGAAGAGCTCACAGCTGCCTCCAGGAGCAGTGTCCAGTCACAGAGCAACTGTGCTGTGTTCTTCTGGAACTCAAAGTGCTTTTGGAAAACTCCGTGGAGAGAGTTAGAAAGGAGGGTTTGTGGCTCAGCAGAATCCTGGTTTTAGCATGAACACAGCAAACAAGCCTTTCTGCCTTTGTGGAGGAGCAGTGATGCACTCCAGGAAGATTGTCTGGCTACTGTGTTCACCACAGCAGCAGTCAAGCTCTTTTTAATTCACTTCACTCTACTTGCATAGCAGACACCTATTAGTCAAATTTGCTCTGTGAAACACAAGTTAGACTTAGCACTGCCAATTCCCTCCTGGGAAGAAGCTGAATGCATGCACTTGCCCAGTGGATAGAATTTCACCAGGTGCTGCCAGTTATGTAATATTACCTGATTTCTCAATAAGGACAGATTACAGCACTTCTCTAGCCTGCTTCCAAGGAGCTGCCCTCACAGGTGGGAGTTCCACATGTGCACACCCAGCTTGAGACTCACCCTAAACATTGCTTACCCATAGTCTCTCTGTAATCTTCTTTCCTCAGCACAGACGTCTCATTAGTCTGCTCCTTGTACACCCACTTCCAAACCCCTTTTTCATGCTAACAAGCCTAAGCGTTGCTTTGTAGTCTTCTGATTCTGCTCCCGGCTTCTTTTAGGAATTATCTTGTGTGGGAACGAGGAAATATTAGCGTATAAATAAGCTTGGCTTAATGTCTGTAAAGCACACTGAGATTATGAAAAATAGGAGGTGAGTGGTAATAGGGAGTTGTGTTCCCTGCGTGGGAAATGGGTGCTCTGAGGAAGCATTCCCATTGTTTTATCATGGAGTGCTGGAGTAGGGCAGCTGGAGTGTGAATCAGCATGAAGGAGGAGCCTGGAGAGACAAGCAGCAAGTGCCTTCAGTTCTTGTGGTGAGAAACCTGTCTGGCAAATGTGGAGCTGGCTCCTGACCGGGGCGAGTTCAGAGGAGTATTTTGTATTTTCAGAGCTGAGCATAACTGCTCGTGGTCTGAGCACTCAGGGAGGGAGCACGTAGGTGCTGCAGGCAAGCAGCAGCTCAGCAGCACAAATGAAAGAAGGATATCTTCACCAAACAGGTGCTGCCACGACTCAGCAAGCAGGGAGAGCCAGCAAGTGTGGGGAGCTTTAAATCTGCCTAGGTGCACCTTTGAATATTTCAGGTTGTCTCCACCTGCTTTGATGTAATAAAAGCTTATATTCCTTACAGAGGGTGAGGAGCTTCTCATTCATTTGTGTCATGTGCTGGGAGTTTGTTCTTTGTGGGCTGGGACTGGCTCTGCCACGGTGATCCACTGAGGGACAGGCTGTGTTCTCCAGAAAAACCAGTCTCTTTGAAGCAGAGATTTAAATATCATCTGGCACTGAATGAGCTTTGAGTCTTCATCAGTGCTTTGTGCACAATAGTGGCAGACTTGCTGTAGATTTTTCATCCTATTTAGATGAGATCAGAATGAAAACCTGCAGCATTAAAACTCATGCAGTGAGTTCCAACATGTCAGGTAACCCAGTAAGGAGAGGGATGAGGAGAGCAGGAGATGATGCCTTTTCACTAGCAGGGATGGACAACTCTCCTGACAAGGTTAAAGCCAGGATTATTTAACACCATAATGTAGAACTCAGTGAAAATTATTATTAAAAATGCAGCATCTCCTATTGCCACATCTCTCTCGTTACTGAGTTACCTGATGGCTGGACATAGGAACTCATTGGTTTGAATTTTGGTCTTGAGGGGAAAATCTACCAAAATTTTGAAGTGGACCTCCAGGTATTCTGTAGGAGACTTCTTAGCTGTATCAAGAATGGAACACAACACTGTAGCCCATTCCAGGGGCTTCTTTTTCTTCTTGTGCCTTTTACAGTGGGTAAAGAATGAGCACAGCCTGCAGATGTAGTTTGGGAATGGTCGTGGTTGTGAGAAATTTCATCAGAGCACAGTGTTGGGAACAGGGAAATGTCCATGAGGATGAGACAGACACATCCACGTGCATTCAGCTCTTGAGAGGGTCTGGGAAGGAGATGGCATTGCCCTGTTGGTGAGGTGAAACTGTCACACCCATGACCAAATCCTCCTTCCAAACTCTTCTTCCCTGTTGTCTGACTTAAGGTCAGGAATTTCTGGGTTGTGGAGTTTTTGTCCTTTCTTTGTACCTTGTGAGCAGCACAACCTCTGACCTGCAGCTGCTGCCGTGGGCTTTTCCCTGCCTGCAGAGTTCACACATGGATGATTGTGTGTGAGATCAGACTCCAGGTCACCGTGTGTGCAGGGCATGGAAATGCTGTTACTCTGGGCAAACAGATACTCACAGCTCTGAAATCAGCTGCAGGAAGAGCTGAAGGGATGCCAGTGTTGGGCTGTGTCCTTCCCACCTCCAGGGCTGAATTGTACAGACCCAGCTGCCCTGGCATGAGCCACCTCTGGAGGAGAAAACTGCTGAGTTCTAACCCCAGTGTGACTCCCATCTGTTTCCCTTTCAGCCTGATAAAATTAATTTCACAGTCAACTCTGCAGAGCTCTTAGGAAATAGCTCACAGTGGAAATTTCACAACTGGCCTCTTCCAACTGCAATTCCTTTAGCTTTGGAGTGGTTTTGGAGTTTCATCTTGTAAGATGTTGTGAAATCAGCTTTTTCACTTGGAGCCAGCCACTGTGATGATGGTCACTGAAAGATATTTGGGGTCATGGTAAAGGCTTTGTTTTTTGGAAGGGTTGAATCAGGCTGATCCCCTGCTTACAGGGTAGGGAAGCAAAGGTCAGGAGTATCAAGTCAGAGCAGAGTTTCTTCATCCTCCTTTTTGCTTTCCAGGTCCATAACGTTCACGGAGCCTTCAATGCCTTGGAGGGAGCAGACAAGCTCAGCTCAAACCGTGGGTATTCCTGGGGACTGCAGCTCTCAGCCACCCTCTGCAGGAGGGAAAGCAGGGCCACTCATGCTGTGTTCAGAACTCTTTCCTCTTTAGCCAAAATGATCCAGACATTGCTGGCTGGCTTTTCCATTTCCTCCAGTGCTACAGAAAAGGCTTAGCCCAGAAGGTTCCTTGCAGTCCTTATGGAGTTTTTTATCCGTGCCTGTTCCTGTAGTGTCCCTTTGCTGCTGTTACTTCCACCAGAACTTTGCCTTGCACTTGTGTTGCAAATTACCTTAAAATTTCTGCTCTGTGGATGGCAAGAGGGACATTTTCGTGGCCCAGCACAAAAAGGAAAATCCAATGCATGCTGCAATTCAGTGTAGAGAGTTGTCTCTCAAATGTTCAGGCTCCTCCAGGACATCAGTCCTGTCCATTTCTTGGAACAAAATTTCTGTGTCTGTTCCTGAAGCTATACAGTTGTGGTTTGGGGATTTTTTACCTCCAGAAGCCAAATGTCATCGTGTTACACTTGGCTAGAGGATCCTCCAGAGATATAATTTAGAATTCTGTTTTAGAACTGTTTTAGCAGACATGAAAAACTGAATGAGGCATTTAAATAATGAAAAAAAAAAATAGTTAAGCAGCTGTAGGACAAGGAGGATGAGAAAGAAATGGAAGTACACAGGTTGTGATACCTCAGGTTTTTTAGTCACAGTGATCTCAGTGGGCTGCAGCCCTAACCTCAGCCAGTTCCTGATTTAACCAGGCTGCTTGTGGTGGTGATAAAAGTGTTACCATTTATAGTTGCAAGCAGTTAGGAGGGTTGTAGTAACCCAAACCTAGGGTGGGTTGTGGTCCTACAGAAGTGGTGGGCGGCTTCTGGTGTCACCCAGGCACCCGCCAGAGTTCTGAACAGAGGGCACAAATGTGCCATGTGAAGCTTTGTCCCTGAGATAAGGAGGAGGGAGTCACCCTTTTTTGTGACTTGCTCTGTGGGCTGGCTCCTTTCTCTCCGTGCTAACGAGTCCTTCCCTTCCTTCCCTGAGCACAGCCCTTGCCTCTCACGATTACATCCTGAAGATCGTGCCCACGGTGTACGAGGACATGAGCGGCAAGCAGCGCTACTCCTACCAGTACACCGTGGCAAACAAGGTAAAGCAGCAGTGCCTCTGCATCCCAGGGGATGCTCAGCCACCCTTCCTCCCCTCCCGCTGCTCTCCGTGCCCTGTGCGTTTGTAGGTGAGCAGTAGCCTCTGCTGGGAGAAGGAGGAACTGAAGCTCCTCGAGTGGGGCTTTTCCTGCTGCTGGGATTTGCCGGGGTTGGGGTTGGGAGGGCTTGGCAAAGCAGGTGGTGGTGGTGCTTCCATTCCTTAGGAAGGTGTTCTTCCTGCCAGTCTGGCTGATGTGGATTTCTGTAAGTTGTGTGGGAGGTGTTGACAGGCTGCAGGAGCTCCTGTTGTGCCTGGCAAGGTGGTTCTGAATGGAAACTGAACACACAAAACATCACTTACACCTGGTTCTTGTAACTAAACAGTCTCAGTTGTGGTGGATGGATGAGACAAATAAATCAGCAGAGTTTTTAGCTTTTTACAAATGTTGATTGCAGGCATTAAGTCACTGAACTGTAGCAGCAAATATGTGCTGAGTATTTCACATCCCTGCATTGTGATAGTGAATTATCACAGAATCCATTAGTTTGGAAAAGATCCAAGATCACCAAATCCTACCAGTGACCAGTTCCCACCTTGTCAGCCAGCCCAGAGCATGAGTGCCACATCCAGCATTTTAATAATTCAATGTATTGAATTTTTTAAGGAAAAAAAAGGACCCTATTTACTTTTTACAGTAGAAGGCATCTTCCAGTTGAAAATTATTTGCCATTCAGGTGCTGAATGAAAGTCCAAAATCTGTAATGTCTAATTACTTCCAGTTTGTCCTAACTGATAATTAAGCACACATTCTCAGATAGTGAGTTCTGAGATTAATGTTCCTGCCTGGTGACTTTTGGGCTTGCTTGTGTGGTGTGTCCCAGGGATTTGGACATCTCCCTCTGGTCAGATTACAATGAATTTGTTCTGCTTAATGTCACAACTGCTGTTCTGATAAGACTCCTGTGACAGGAGTTCTGAAAGTAATTTGGAAAAATAGCAGGAGCTTTTGACACTTCTGTGAGCTTGGCTGCAAACTGGGGCGTTGAGCCAAGTCTGACTCATTAGGGCAGGATTGCTGGTGGGGAGAAGGGGAGAGGAAGGAAAAAATGAGGTCAGTTCTGTCAAAACTGAGGTGCTGAGGAGCACTGTGCTTTCTTCTCGTGGTGCTTCAGTCCTTCACTCCAGTCTGAGCAGTGGGAAAGGGAAATGGGAAGCCCCTGGAAGAGTCTGGCACAGAGTGGCTGCTGTGAGGAGAGTCTGGAGGGTATAAACTCTGTCTCCTCTCTTAGCTCCCCTGTTTCCTGCCTTCCCACAGAACCACTGTCCCAAAGTGAGCTGCAGAACTCCAATAAAAGCCTGGGGACTTCTGCTTCTCTTGTCATCATGGAATGAACTACCTAAAAATAGGGAAATTTGGGATTTATTTAAGATGATTGAAGATAAGTCACCAGCACACAGAGAGCAAAATTAATTTATTTTTGTGTCATGCTCATGAGTGTCCTGCTGCTTGCTCTTTTTTCATCTTTCTGAAGTATCTGAGGCTGTCTTTGCCTCTTTGTGAAGGAGAATGGCACCAGGAGAGGAGATGTGAGCTGGCAGCCTGTCACAGGGCTGAGGGAGGGAAGGAGGGGCAGCCTGTGCCACCCTGGGCTCTCCTTGGACTGTGGCTCCCCAGCCTGCTTTCCTGGGGTTTTTCTTCACCCTGTGAATGTCTGAAAACTCATACCTATCTCCACTGGCAGCACAGACAAAACATTATCTCAGGAAGATGTGGCTTTAGTTACCAAGCTGGTGCTGGTGCTGGGCAGTGTGTCCTGCTGGGTGCTGTCCTGTGCCTGTGCCTGGCACTGGACCTTGTAGGAAACAAATGGATTAAAGGACAGTGGCACTGGAAATCTGGAAGATGTCTCTCCCAAAGCAGCCTGGGATATTTTTTGAACTTTTGCCAATATTTTTCGAAGCTTTGCCAATATATTTCTGTGTGCAGTTTCATCCTGGCTTTCAGCAGGAGTTTTAAACGTGGTTTGAACATGGTTGCAGATGATTCAGACTAAGAGGGCAAAGCATTCTCATTGCCAGTGGGTGAGGGCCTGACAAGGGAATGCAAGGACAAGGAGGGATTTTCAGGTTCTTACAAACTAAATTCCATTTGTTTGGTGAATGATTTATATACAAAATATAGAGATAAATGTGATTTTCAGAGCTAAAACTTCACCTGCAGCCTGGCTGTATTTAATAGAGCAGATCTAGGATGGAGAATCAGTGACAGCCTTTCTGTTTAGTCCTGTAACTCTGAATGAAGGTGAGAGTAATCACCATCACTCTGTTCCCAGCTCTTTCATTATCAGCCTGTAAAGAGATTGTTTTCCTCTTTGATAAGGATGGGAGGTGAGCAGTCACACAGGAATTCTCTGTTTGCCTCTTTCCATCTGGTCACTGCTGCAAAGCAGTGGGGTGAAGGCCAAACCCACAGAGGCAGTTTTCTGGCAGACACTCTCTGGAATGAACTTGCTCACATTTTGTGCCATTTTGTCCCTTTTTTCCCCTGTTTTTCCCCAGGAATACGTGGCCTACAGCCACACGGGCCGCATCATCCCGGCCATCTGGTTCCGCTACGACCTGAGCCCCATCACAGTGAAGTACACAGAGAGGAGGCAGCCTTTGTACAGGTTTATCACATCGGTGAGTTAGCCCAAACTCTCCTTCTCCCTTCCTCTGCCTGCCTTTCATGTCCCTCCTGGGCCTTTCTTGCCCAGAGGAGTTGAGTTTGTGCCTCAGGGCACTGAGATGTGGTGGGGATAAAGCAGCACATCACTGGGGTTCTGCTGGACTGGGAGGTGACTCCAGTGCTCTGACAGCTTGATTTAATAGCTGGACACAGAAAGAAGGGGAATTAACCTATTCCAGAAGTGCCAGGCTCTGTCTAGGCAGGATGGGCTCTATTGCAGCATGCCAGAAGTTTAGAAGTAAAGCTGATGTGGTGAGCAGGAAAACTGCAATGAACTGCTCACTAACGATGAGATCAAATGTGCAGAGAATCTGGAGTGGTTGGGATTGGAAAGAACCTTAAACCTCATCCCATTCCACTCCTTGCCATGGTCAGGGACACTTTCCACTATCCCAGGGTGCTCCCACCCTGTCCAGCCTGGCCTGGGACACTCCCAGGGATCCAGGGGCAGCTGCTCTGGGCACCCTGTGCCAGGGCCTGCCCACCCTTTTCCACCCCAAAGTCATCCTGGTCTCACCAGAGGGTTTTCCTTTGTTCAGGTGGGGGAAGGAGAACTGTTAGATAACACAGAGCTGCCTGTCCTTGCTATGTGCTGGTATTTGGGTGATTTTTACAGTAAATAGGAAGAAAAGTAGCAGTGGAGATTTTATCAGCCATTTCTCTCTTCCCCTACAATACACTGAATTTTTATTTTTTTTTACACTGAGTTTTACTCAGTGCTGCTGCCTGGCTTAATAAGGAGTGCCAGTTCCAGGTATTTACTTCTCAGTAGAAGTGGAAAAGAGCTGCATTATCAAATTCCAGAGCTGTTTTCCTGACGAGTTACATTTGGATGTGTCCAGAGAGCATCCTGCAGTCCTGATCTCAGCATCCAGAACAAAGCTGTGCTGGCCAAGCTGCTCATTAGGCAAAGAGCTATTTAAAGATCCTCCAGAACTTTAAAAAAAAAAAGTGTCTTCAGGGAGTTGGCTTAAAACTGAAGCTGCAGTCAGCTGTGCCAGTGAGGCATGGTGGAATGTGAAGCAGTTGATAAATTGGCTGCAGTGAAGACCTCAAATTCTGATTTTTTAAACTGTTTGACTGTTTTAACTGGAATTCACATAAACAGTGTGATGGAGTTGCACTTCAAGATTTTGATTTTGCAACTTCTGATAAACAGCAAGTTCCCTTCACTGAACTTTAGACAGTGAATAGAATACACAAATAACCAGAGAAGGGGGCTTGGAGTAAAACCTAAATGTCGTGGTGAAAAACTTTCTCTTCTTAGCACGTCTGCTTGGCTTTGAAACATAATCCTAAAAAAGGTCAAACATCAGCATTTCATGACTTGGCATCTCATTCTGCCTCTGCTTCTTTCCCTAAATTGTGCTCCCAGAAGTTTCTTACACATCTTGGTGGGGGTGAGGGTGTGGAGGTGTTTTCATGGGAAATGATGTGATAGCTGGGATTATTCTTTAATTTTATTATCAGCATTGATTCACTGCTGATCTGCCATTCTATGCCTATAAAAAGCATCTTTTTTGAATGATATCCTCCTTCTGAGTTGACATAAGGGACCACAGGAGAGAATTTTCCTCCCTGCTTGCCACAGTGACATTTTGGGTCTGTATCTCATTTGAATTTGTATCCCATAACCTCAAAAACTGAAATGTGTGTTTCCTACTGAGAATCCAAAAATGGAACAACAGTTCCACTTCTGTTTCTGATAAGATTTAAAGGTTGATTAATTCTCATTAAATAAGAGTTTCAGTTTCTCCTCTTCTCCAAAGTAACAGTCCTCTCCACACACCCTGTTCCTCACTGGACTCTGAATGTTGAGTCACTGGCCCCAGATGAATTTTGCCCTGTTCTGTCTTTAAAGGTAGCCAGGCACTTCCTGGCTGCTGAAGGGGAGTTTTGCAGCTGATTTTTGGCTGCTTTGTTTGCTCCTGTGAATGGCTGTGGTGTCAGGCACCTCCCTGGGGCTGTTCCAGCTGCGTGTCCTGCTCTGGGGGATGAGGATGATGCTGGTGGCTGTGTCAGGATGTCACACAGGTGTGACAGACACAGGCAGAGCCTCCTTCCAGGGGGGGATCCTGGCCCTGCTGAGCTGCTCTGGGCTCCTTTGGGCCAGGATTGCTGTTCAGGAGAGCAGCCTTGGCTCTGCTTCCCAGTGGCACTGAGCAGCTGGGCAGGGGCAGCAGCACTGCAGAGGAGCTGAGCCCCTCCAGCCCTGCCCTGCTGCATGACATGATCTGTTCTTCAGCCCCTTCCTGCAGCTCCAGCCTGGCCTTTTGCATCACAGTTGCTCTGGAGACCAGTGAGTGATGGCCAGCACTGGGCTGAGGGCCAGCAGGGGCTGGGCTGGGCTTGTGCAGTCACTGCCTGGCCATGGAAAGCAGCAGCTTGCTCAGTTTGAAAACCACAGGACAGCCTCTGGGACAGGGGCTCCTTCACTGTGGCTTTCACTAAATGAAATTAGTGCTGGCATGGGGGTGATCCTGGGGACTGCAGAGAGGCTTCAGGGGGTCAGTGATGGAGGGAAGGGCACACTGCTGAGGGTGATCCCATGGGAGGGGTGTTGGGTGCTCAGCACAGAGCCAAAGCATCTCCTGCTGCTGCCAGGCTTGTCTGATGCTCTGTCACTCATGGCTCTGCCCTCCAAAGCCTCAGCACTGCAAAGAGCAGGGTTGCAGCTCTCCAGCAGCATTCCCACATCCTCTCTGTCCCCATTCTAGCTCATGCCTGCTCCTGAGATCTTTGTGGTGTGAAGAATTACCCTGATTTTCTGTACCATGTGAGAGGTGCTTCCTGTGCAAAGGCTTTGCTTTAAAATAAGGGTTTTTTTACTTTGCATGTCGTGCTCAAAAAAGGTCAGTACTAAATAAGATTTTATATTTCTTGTGGGTCAGTGCTGTCACTGTTCCATGAGTTTGCCAGGGATCCTGGAGTTAAGCACAGACACTTGGCAGAGTGTTAAACACAGGGGTTTTTTTGCCTGTCAAATTGCACTGCTTAAATTCAACTTATCCCTCATAAAGAGAAGCCATTCAAGAGCTCCTGGTTGAGGTTATGGAGCAAGGGGAAAAGTTTCACTGCTGAAAATTCATGAGTTCCTGTAAGCAGCCAAACTGAAAGAAGGTTTTATCAAGAGATCAGTGTAGGGGCTGGGAGGGGAGAGCAGGCAGAAAAGCAGACAAAGTTCTGCTGAAACATTCAAAATCCAAAGAAATTTTTTTTTCCTGGTATGAGAAGACTCATGTGCCTCTAGGTGTGAAAAAAAGTTAAACTGGAAGTAATGGAGGATGGGAACTGGAGCAGAGTGGTTGCAGGCAGAGTAATTTCAGCCATGGGAGCTGGTACTGACAGGTGTCACAGCCCTGTGGCATTTTTAAAGCCAAATAATACAAAATGGCTGAAAATCTCTGGGTGGGATTCTGCAGCTTACCTTCCTAGGAATTGTCTGAGGGTTCTACTGATCCCCTCTGACTTTACAAGTCATTTTGAGACTTTGGGACAGCCCAGAGGAGCAGTCATGTGTCTGACACTTGCCTTTCTGCCACCTTGCTGGCAGCCTTGCCTCCTCCTGTGCATCCCCTGGTGTTTTCCTTTAGGCACCAGCACACATCCCACTCTGCTGTGACCTCCTTCTGTTCAAGTTTAATTCCTCATGTCCAGAGAGCTCTCACTGCTGGCATTATTCCACTTCTGTCTCTTTCCCTTCATCCTTCCACGGCTGGGCCTGACTCCCACAGACCTCACGGAGCTAAAGGCAGATCATTGCCAACAACTCATTCCTTTAAACCCAGAGAAGTGCCTGATGCCTGCCTCCCCTGCGTATCAGAGCCGTGATGATGAAGGAACATTTGGTGCAGCTCCTGTGCTGCCCTGGAGCCCAGCAGTGGTCACAAGCCCTCCCAGCCCTTCTTCCGTCACCAGGGCTCAAAGCTGTGAGTGCAGGAGGCCCCAGCCAGGGCCAGGTGTGTGTGACTCATCCCCACTCAGCACTACAGAGCTCTGCAGATGAATTTATATTTATTTTTTTTTTCTATTCCCCAGCCCCTTGTGCTGCTGCACTGAAGTCAGATTTTCCTGCCTGTGATGCAGAATCTGCGTGTTGGACGGGGTTTGTGTTTGTGGTGTGACATCTCCCGTCAGCTGAGCTGCTCTGAGCTGAAATAACCCAGCTCCGTGGTGGGCATTTCCCTGTGTCACACCCCGAGGGACAGCAGGGAGGGGGTACAGCAGCAGGGCTGGACTTGGCCCCTAAAAATCTCCCTTTGCCTCAGGCTGGTGCTCTGGTTTCAGCAGCTTCAGTCTCCTGGAGTGTCCTGCAAAAGCCAAAATTCCTGCAGCTCCTTGTTTCACTGAGCTCAGTAATGTTCACATCTTGGTAATAAATGCCCATGGAAAGGAGCTGTAGCTCTCGCTGCCTTTGCTCAGCCCTAATGAGCAGTTTGTTCCATCCCCTCAGCGCTGCTCTGCTGCTCTTACGTTGGTTTTTGTCTCTGACTCTGCCCATGGGGTGCTGTGTGGGAGCAGAGACGTGGCAGGGTGTGTGTAGAGTGGCACCAGTTCCCTTCTGGGCCAGCTGTGCTGCACTTTTATAACATTTATCATAGAATTATTTAGGTTGGAAAAGACTTCCAAGGCCATCGAGTCCCAGCTGTGCCCATCCCCACCTTGTCCCCAGCCCTGAGTTCCACCTCCAGGGATGAGGATCCAAACCTCCCTGGGCAGTTCCAGTGCCTGAGCCCCCTTTCCATGGGGAAATTCCTGCTGTGCCCACCCTGAGCTGCCCTGGCCCAGCCTGAGGCCGTTCCCTCTGCTCCTGTCCCTGTTCCCTGGAGCACAGCCAGACCCCCCGGCTGTCCCCTCCTGGCAGGAGCTGTGCAGAGCCACAAGGGCCCCTGAGCCTCCTTTGCTCCAGGCTGAGCCCCTTCCCAGCTCCCTCAGGGATTCTCCAGACCCTTCCCAACTCCTTTCCCTTCCCTGGACCCGCTCCAGCCCCTCCAGGTCCTTCCTGGAGTGAGAGTCCCAGAACTGGACACATCAATCCTGGTGTCACCTCAGCAGTGCCAGCACAGGGGACAATCACACCCTGCTCCTGCTGCCACGCTGTTTTTGATACAAAAACATCTGAGTTCTGCTTAAGACTGCCTTCATACAAATCACCTGGTGGGGAGGCAGAAGTCAAACACCACAGGAGGGGAAGAAAGTCCCAGGGTGCCACCAGGCAGTGTGACACACCACAACCTAACCTAAAAATGTTGCCAGCCGTGTTCTAGCTACACAGTTCTAACTCCCCAACTCCCACATTTTTTACTTCATAACTGTGGTGCTCTTTTAATTTGGTCTTTCATGTTTTGTAGGACGAGGTGGTTCGGGGAATAACAACAGGGTTGTGAGAAGGGGAACAGGATGTGGAGCTTATCTCCTGACAAGGGCCTGCCTGGGAAAAAGGGGATTTGTTACGAGCTAGGAGCTGAAGGAGAGAGTAATCCCAAACCAGTGAGCCACTGTAGCAGGGAAATATTTTGTATTGTTGGTCTCCTCCAGCATAAATGACTCTGTGATTCTGTTTCCACAAAGACTCTGGTTTCACAGAATATTTCCGTGTTTTTGTAGCACTTGAGAAGTGAAGTAGGCTGTTAACGCTAATCAGGAGATTAATTTTTTCCCTAACTCTGTTCTTGGAAGTAATTACATGTTTTAATTTGACCCAGGATCCACATCTTGTGTGGAAAACTGTGTCCCACAAAGAGTTAAGCTGGCTGCTGTGAGCAGCCCTTGTCATGGAAAGTGTTAGGCAGAGCTGTGGTGTCACTGGGAGCTGCTTCTCTGTTACTCACTGCCCTTCACGTGCTTTTTCTGAGTCTTCTGCCTGTTTGTAAATTATCTTGTGAAAAGGGGAAAAGACTACAAGACCGTGGTGTTTATTACAGAAAGCAGCATAGGAAGATGTGAGCAACACAGAGCTTCTAAAAGCTGAGTTAGGTGGAGTTCAGCCCTTACAGGAGCAGTGTTTGTGCTGTGGGAGCTGGGATTTGTGATGGGCTCAGGCTGTGAGGAGTTCAGCACTCATTTATTCCACTGCAGGGAATGGTTTTTGTGAGTGATCCTCATGGAATTCCATCTCACTGTGCTTCCAGAAAACACCCCAGCAGCAGGATCCCTCCCGTGCTGGGTAAAGGTTCCCCTCTTTGCTGACAAAGGTGTTTCCTCTCTCTGTAATTGCAGATATGTGCCATCATTGGAGGAACGTTTACTGTAGCTGGGATCCTCGACTCCTGCATTTTCACAGCATCAGAGGCCTGGAAGAAGATCCAGCTGGGCAAAATGCAGTAGCAGTGAAACTCTACCCTCGACTCCAAGGACAGGAGCAAAGATTGAGAAATCTACCACTACCTGTTTTTGTCTTTATTTTCTATTTGATTGAATCAGTATGTTTTTCTCTAATCAGGCTGGTCAGTGAAGGCGTCTTCAACAAATCAAAGAAATCTCCATGCATTTCAGAGCTCTGAGAGGGAAAAATCAGTGGAATCAGGGTGTGGATTTTGATTCCCTCCCCCCAGAGAGAGAGGTTGAAATGCCATATGAGATCTAAGTGAGGATGGCAGTCTGTCCTCTGGGAGGTTCCCGTGGCAGTGTACAAACTAGGGAGTAGATGGCAAAGAGCTGAACTGTCTTGTGGCACTTTTTGGAGTTCTGTTGGATTTGCATGATCAGACAATCGACTTTTGTATAGGGCAAAATTACACATGAGGAAGAAATTCCACCCATGGTGCCAAAAAGGTGATGTGTCTGTTGGTGAGGAGTGGAAAGTGTTAGTCCCCACAGCAAACCTAAGAGACAGAGGGCAGAAATAACACCAGGAAATGTTTTGTGCTTCTATTGAAAGCTCAGTTGTTCAGATACAACCTTTCTAACCAAGTGAAAAAAGAGCAGGAAGCCTTCCCCAGCTACCTTTTCCTAGGTAATCTGTGATCCCAGCAGTGGAGGGCATTTCTTTTACTCTGGATGTAAAAGTGGTTTCATTTCTTCCCACTAACTGAATATCCAGTCTTGTGTTTACAGGTGGCATGAAGTAAAAACCAAACTGAGCAACACAGTTTTATGTGGCCTTTGCTTTGAAAGGGAATAGTTGTCTTTACAGCATTAGCTTTTCTTTCTTCTGTTTCTAAACACAGACCACCCAGAAGTCTGGATTCTGCACTTCTGCTTTATTGTTGTTGTTGTTTTTTTGAAAATAGGTTTTATATTCTCTGTGCTCAGAAAAATGGTGCAGCCCTCTGGGTGGATGAGCACAGCTTCCTCTCTTGCTTTGTGTGTGTGTGTTCAATACACCTGTCAAACACAGGAATTCTGACTTTTCAGGATTTAAGGTGCCTCCCTTTTCCTTTAAAACTCAGCCAGGCATCTTTCCTGAGCCCTGGACTGACACTGCTCTCCCACAGGTACACAGGGCAGCATTCCCACAGGCTGTCCCTTGCTGGGAGTTTTGTTTGATCCCTTAAAGAGATTCCTGAGCTTCCCTGTCCCTTCCTTCAAGCCTTGTCTTCTGGAGCCTCCAAAACACAGAGGTGTGAGGGGAAAACTCCTGTGCCAAGGGTGTCTTGCATGTCATTTGGTCCCAAAAATGAGACCAGATGCCCACCAGTGCATTTTCCAGAGCCTCATCAGTGTTCCTTGAGTAGTGACAGCCTCTGCATGCCTTGTGAGTGTCTGAGCTGAGGATACACAGATTTTAAGTCTTTCAGGATGGGTTAAACAAAAAGAATCATAAAATAAAGATCTTGAACTCAGTGCTGTAAATTTTAAGATGGGTGCAGGGTTTCTCTTGGATGATATCCATTGCCTTTTCCTGGAGGCAGAATATCCAGACTTTATGCTGTGATGATATGAATTGTTGAATATTCAGTGTTATTGTTAGAGTCAGATGCATTTCAAAAGAATTCCTGATTGTCTGTTGAAATTGTCCCCTTGCTTTGGAAGCAGGCAAGGTGTAGCCAGTTTTACCCACCCACCAAAAAGAAGCAGCCAGCTCCTGTCCCCCTGCCGTGCTCTGCCCTGTACTGACTTTGGACAACATTGGAATTTTTCCCTGTTCTTCTCTGGACTGATTGCTCTTCCTTTAGGTCCAAACTGGGTTGTGCAACTTCCTGTACCCGTTTATGTATGGGTAGATTTTTTTTTTACTTTCTTTTTTACTTTTTTTTTCCCCCCATTTACAAAAATGAACTTTTTCAATGAGATGCTTGTGTGTGTCCATGTGCCTGCGAGTGGAACCCTCTGGATGTGGATTTTCCATGGCAAGTGCTTCTCCTGCTGGCTGAAGGATTTCCTCTAATCCTCTGTGACCAGCTGAAACTCACAGCTCAAATGTCCTCATTTTTCCTTTTGGATTTGGTGAGTCTTTGCTGACAGCTTGGGAACAGTGGATTACAGCAATGAGATTTTTAATATTTTAGCATCTTCCTTACACTGAGATTTATTTAGTGCATCCTTCTCCTGAGCTGGGCAAGGGGAGATCTTTGCAGTACAGTTCGTTTTCTGAAATTTCTCCTCTGTTACAATTTCTTAGACACAAACAAAGGTGGTTGCAGATTCTTTGTGTCCCCTGGTGTGTTATTCCCATCATTTTCCCCATTCCTTGTCTGTATTAAACTGCCTCCTGTGCAGTCCAGGCCAGTTTTCTAAACCAGACCAGTGAAATTGGTTTATTTGGGGTTTGTTTTGTTTTTTTTTTTTTTGGAAGTAACACACTTCATCTCTGCCAAAACATCCCCTGCAATAAGGTAATAAATCAATTTTTGGGGTTTTTTTTTTTTGCGAGATGTGGAAACCAAATTGTACTCAAGTTCTGGCAGGAGGAACAGTCTGTGCTTGGTTCTGTAATCCAGGTCTGAGCCTTTGAGAGCTGCAGGGTCACACCGTGGTGCTGCATCGTGTGCTCACAGCAGGATCTGCTCCTCACCTGCCCAGGTGTGAAGGCAAGGCACTTACTGCCCCTGCGCCCGCGAGATCTCACTTTTATTCTGAATTCTCTGAAGAGAAAACGAGCTTAGTCGTGCTTTTAAACGTCCTTGCAAACAAAAGAATTTCCAGTCGGAGCAGAAGGAAACCCTGAGTTGTGGGGTTCTGATTTTGCCCTTTCAAGTCAGTGTTTTTATACAAAACTTTGGGTATCCAAAAAAGTCATCCCTGTAGGAAATATTTGAAACTCCCATTTTAAATTATTCCCTGTAACTCCAGACTCCACTCTACAGTGAGAACTTGAGGCATAGGATGCTTTGCAATGGTGGAGTTAAAAACTTCTAGGGAAAGTTATTAGATGTACTCTAGGCGTTATTTGGACTGCTGAAGAAGATTTTTAAAAGAAAATAAAATGGAAATGGGGTACAAAAATCCAGGAGAGATGAGTCTGTGAATGTGTGATCTGATCTCTCAAATCCTTGCGTTTATGAAAATGAAATTTGCAATGAAAAATTTGAAATTTGCTGTGAAAAATGAGATTTGCAGTGTAGGTGGTGGCCCTGTCTGCCACCAGCTCCTGAGTATTTCTCATTTCTTGTTCTTTCTCTGTGTGACACAGGGCTGTTGGGGCTGGGGTGAGTCTCTGCTGTACAAGAGTTTTTGATTTGCAGGTTGGGGGTGTGGGTTTGTCCCTGGGATGTGGGAGAGGGGCAGGGAGGAGGAGCAGCCCCGCCGTGTCTGGTACTGCAATGTTCAAAGCACAAGTCTTTTACATTTCTACAGTGGAGACCGTTAAGGAGTTCTGGCATTTGTCTTTTTAATTTGCAACCTTATGTTAATAAACTATTAGCCTTTTTAGTTCCATAATTGAAAATAAAACTCTCACGTGTTTTGATTTGCTTCTTGTCGCACTCCTGTTGCAAAATCAATCCAAAGGGGCTTTTTTTTTTCCTTTTAATTATGATTTTAGTGAGCTGAGTGTTATCACACAATGAAATCACTGGGAGCCAGGTCACCGTGGTGAAAGTTAGCACGAGGCTCTTTTGTAATCAGCCCTGAGTCATGTCTGCACATTCAGTGCTGGGTTCTGTACAGCACCGAGTGTCCCAGCCTCCCTTTTTTGAAGGAAAGGTGAACGGGCTGTGCTTGGGATTGCTGGGTTTGCCTTTAGTCACTGTGCTCCTTGGTGTGTGAAATAACCCAATTTTGTGTCCCCCCTCCTTTAATGTCCACTTAGCCTTGCTTCATAACTATTTAGAAATTAAGTGAGGCAGTTTTTAAAGATGGAACAGTTTGGACTCAGGACATCTGCACCATCTTAACAAATCCCCTTTATGTTGGGAAGGTTTTTGTGGAGGAAGAGATCCCGTTCCAGTGAGTGGAATCACATTTCCACAAGTGATGGATTCCCAGGGGTGCTGCCGGGGGTCCCTCACGCTGTAAATGACAATTAAAGGCTCTGGGAAGGCGTTTGTCCAAACCCAGCCTGCTGCAGCTCAGCCCCCAACGCTTCCAGCCGATCTTTATAAAAACACCCGGCCCAAACCCAGCCACGCCAATTCATGGGTTAATTCCTACCGATTTCCACTGAGAAGAAATTAATCTATCCCGGCTCTGTCCCCGCTCTATCCCGGGTTTATCCCGGCTCTGTCCCGTGTCTATCCCGCTCTATCCCGCTCTGTCCCGGCTCTGTCCCGCTCTATCCCGGGTCTGTCCCGGCTCTATCCCGGGTTTATCTGGCTCTATCCCGGGTTTATCTCGGGTCTATCCCGCTCTATCCCGGGTTTATCCCGGGTCTATCCCGCTCTGTCCCGCTCTATCCCGGGTTTATCCCGGCTCTGTCCCGCTCTATCCCGGCTCTATCCCGCTCTATCCCGGGTTTATCCCGGGTCTATCCCGCTCTGTCCCGCTCTATCCCGGGTTTATCCCGGGTCTGTCCCGCTCTGTCCCGCTGCCCTCCGCCCGCCAGGGGGCGCGGCTCTGTCCCGGGCCGGCGCGGGCCAAGCGGAAGCGGAAGCGCTCCTGGCTCCTCTTCCGGGCGGGCGGCGCGGCGGCGGCAGCGGGTGAGGCACCGGGAGCGGCAATCCGCGTTCATCGGGGCCATCCGCGGCCATCGGGGCCATCCGCGGCCATCGGGGCCATCTCCGGCCGGCGGGGCCTCCGCGGGGCGGCGGCGGGGAGCGGGAAGGGCCGGGCTGGCCGGGGGAGCTCGGCCTCCCTCAGGCTGCGCTTCCCCGGCTCATCGCTGAGGGAGCGCAGCCCGGCCCGGGCGCTGCCAGGGTGTGCGCTCAGCAGCTGAGCAAAACCAGCCTTTAATTTGATTTATCGCTGATTTGATTTACCCTTTGCTGGCAGGATCAGTGGTGCCCTGACTGGCAGCGCTGCAGCGCAGTTGTTAAAGCTTAGGAAAAGCCAGAATAATGTTGGATTTGCAGATGTGTTACCTGTGCGCTGTGGCCTGGAGCGTTCCTGGCGGTGCTGGAGCAGTGCGAGTTCCCTCTGCAAGCCCAAAATAGACATTTTTATAGCTGGATGTGAATGAGAGCAGTTCAGGGCAGCATTCCCGGGCGCTGGGAACGGGGAGATTGGGACAGGAAGAACGGTCTGATGTGCACGTGTGGCAGTCACAGGGTCAGCCAGGGAAGAGGCTTCAACTTATTTGGAGTCAGGGATATTGGGGTTTGTTGACCAGTGATGGGATTTAAAAAAATTGAAATTAATTTTTTTTTTGCCGCGGGAGACTGTGGGCGTGGCTGTGTGCTGTGAGCACCTCTCCAACTGCTGTGGGGTTTTTTTTGTGCAGCCAAAATGAAGTTCAACCCCTTTGTGACCTCGGACCGCAGCAAGAACCGCAAAAGGCACTTCAATGCCCCCTCGCACATCCGCAGGAAAATCATGTCCTCGCCGCTGTCCAAGGAGCTGCGGCAGAAGTACAACGTGCGCTCCATGCCCATCCGCAAGGACGACGAGGTCCAGGTACTGCCCTGCCCGCCCCCGCCTCCTCCGGGGCGTTTCCAGCAGGGATTTCCCCATGGAAAGGGGGCTCAGGCACTGGAACTGCCCAGGGAGGGTTGGATCCCCATCCCTGGAGTGTCCCAGGAAGGGCTGGAGGTGGCACTGGGGCTCTGGGCTGGGGATGTGGCATAATTTGGGTTTGATGATCTTGGAAGTATTTTTCAAGCCAGCTGAGTCTGGGATTCTGTTTTCATGTGCAGCCTGTGCAAAAGGCAAGGACGAGACAAACTGGTATTAATGCTGGAGCTTTGTCTTCAGCATGGCAGAAATAATTAAGTTAATCCAGTCATGGCTTGGGCTGTCAAGTTTCTTAAATTCACTTCATTTAAATTCACTTTAAATTCACTTCAGTGATAAGGATGGCACAGGTGTGCTAGAAATTGTGCTACACTTCAGCTACATGCACTGATCATTGTGCTGAGCTAAAAATTTTCAACCATAAAGCACAAGGCAAAGAATTGGGTTTTTATTATAGACTGTTTGCTATCTGTGATATTTGAATGATTGGATTAGATATGAGTCCAAGCTAAGTGGCTTTTTTTTATATAAAGCACAATGATAGGTGAAAAATGAGGGTAAAAACTCTTAAAAATGGAAACATGGCTGTTGCTATAGGACACAAAATAAAACAACACACATGCTGGAACCTACAGGGTAAAAAGAAGGGAAGTTTATTTTCTGACTCCAACATTTATAGATTTTCAAAAGTGACAGCATTGGAGGATGAAAGTGCCACCTCTCCAATGACACTGGACAAGACAACAGCCTATCAAATTTCTCCTCCTCCAGAGAAGAATGTAAAACAATAGTTATTTATATAAAAATGCGTGAGAAAGTTTGTTACAAGAATGTAAACATCAGAAGGCTCAGAAGACCAGGGCAACACCTGTCTGCAAAGCTACAGAGCTCCCTCCTTAGGGTTTGCTGCAGAGAAAATGGGGGGGAAGCACAATCCTGATCCATTTTGTGTTCTGTGTTAGTAACGCTGAAATTGTCGGGTCACTCCTGTGTTTGTGGCTTGCATCCTGTGCTGGGTGGCTCAGGCCTGGCTTGCGAGCTGGGCTGGCTGCTCCAGGGCTGCCTCTGGAGCTCAGGGGGTGTGTGTGTGTGTGTGCAGGTGGTGAGGGGACACTACAAGGGCCAGCAGATCGGCAAGGTGGTGCAGGTGTACAGGAAGAAGTACGTGATCTACATCGAGCGCGTGCAGCGGGAGAAGGCCAACGGCACCACCGTGCACGTGGGCATCCACCCCAGCAAGGTAGGGGGCACTGGGGCTGCCTGGCACTGCTGGGGGCTCTCGGCTGCTCTGGGCTTCGGTGGGACCTGCTACCAAGGGCTGGGAGTGCTCCTGGGTCAGCAGGTGCAGCAGCCCTGCCAGAAGGGTCTGGGGGTGCTGCTGGCCAGGAGCTGGGGCTGCCTTGGCCCCGGAGCCCCCCTGCCCTGGGCTGATCCCCAGGGGCAGCAGGAAGGGGCTGGCATTGTGCCCTGTGCCCCTCAGGTGAGAGCCGAGCTGGAGCTGCTGGAGAGAGCCCAGAGGAGGCTCCAGGGATCAGAGGGATGGAGCAGCTCTGCTGGGAGAGCTGGGATTGCTCACCTGGCCAGGAGGAGCTTTGGGGTGACACAGCTGTGGCCTCACAGTGCCTGGAGGAGCCAACAAGATGGAGAGAGAATTTGGCAAGGCCTGGAGGGACAGGACAAGGGGGATTGGCTTCAACTGAGAGAGCAGGTTTAGATGGGATATTGGGAATTAGGAATTGTTCTCTGTGAGGGTGGGCAGGCCCTGGCACAGGCTGCCCAGAGCAGCTGTGGCTGCCCCTGGATCCCTGGCAGTGCCCAAGGGCAGGCTGGATGGGTTTGGAGCAGCCTGGGACAGTGGGAGGTGTCCCTGCCATGGCAGGGGTGGAGCTGGATGGGCTTTAAGGTCCCTTCCAACCCAACCCATTGTGGGGTTCTGTGAATAACAGATGGAGATGTTCCTCAAGGAAATGTTAGCGTGTCATGAGCAGAGATGTGAGTCGAAACCACATTGTTTCTAGGAGTAGAAACTTGCTGGAAACTTTGGAATCTTACTGAAATACATTTTTGAAGAGGCTGATGTTTTCAAAGTACAAAATGGATCATTTAAATCAATCCTTCATCTTTGCAGTGTGGCACTTGCACTGGTTGAGGAGGTGCTGGAGAGGCTTAAACAGATGCTCAGAATTGTGATTGTTCTTGCAGGCAATTGTGAACTAAATACCTTTGAACCTGGGCTTAGCCTGAGGTATTTAGAGCTGGTGCAAACCAGGCAAAGCCTGTTTAGATCATAACGGGAAACATTGCAAACTAAACACAAGAACTTGCCAAAATCTGGTTTGAAGCAGATAAATTCAGTCTGCCTCAGCCTTGCCACGTGGGCACAAAGATGGAAATGTTGGTGGCAAAAATCCAGTTGTAACAGGTTTTGTGGTGTAAATGGTTGGTGTGTTCAGCAGAGGGAGGGCAGAATTATTCCAAAACATCACAACTTGTGTGCAGCAACAACATCTGACAAGGTGACATTGTGGTGGAGCCAGTGCATGTATCTGTGCTGAACAGCAATGAGAAAAATGGAATTTTCTGCTGCTTCTGCACTCTGGGAAGATTTTCATTAATTGGGAACTACACCTCAGTAAAGCTTTGCATAAAGATTCTGGTTATTAATGCAGAGAGCAATGTTTTGTTACAGACTTGCAGTGTGAACAGTTTGTATATCTTCTGGGCAAAGAGGTGGGAATTACAATTCAGACCTAAATGCACAGGGAATTAAGGAGAAATGTGCCTATATGGCATTTCTAGGATCTGATTGTTGGTTCTATTTTCCAGGTAGTGCTTTCAATAACACCAATTTCCAATTTCAATACCAATAGCAATTTCTTTGCCAGTTTGAGGAGGCAGGAGCAGGAATTGTTGGATAAATTCTTCCCTGGGGGGTGGTGAGGCACAGGGTGCCTGGAGAAGCTGTGGCTGCCCCTGGAGTGTCCAAGCAGCTTTGATTCCTGCTTTGTGCTGCTGGGATCAGCTCTGTGCTGTGGCCCAGGTGGGTTTGGGATGGGCTGCTGCCCTTCCCTGTGGACAGGGAGCCCACAGGGGGCAAGTGAAGAGATCTGAATCCTGACTCCATGTTTCAGAAGGCTGATTTGTTATATTATGTTATATATTATATTAAAATGCTGTATTAAAACTATGCTAAAAGAATAGAGAGAAAAGGGTTTATCAAAAGTCTAGAAAGAACAGGAAAGGAAGGAAAGGAATGATAACAGACTTGTGACTGGCCAATAATTAGAAACAACCAACATGCCCCAATCACAGATTCACCTGTTGCATTCCACAGCAGCAGATAAATATTGTTTCCATTTCTTTTCTGAGGCTTCTCAGCTAGAATAGGAGAGAAATCCTAGCAGAGGATTTTCATAAAATACTGTTGCTACAAAGGCTGAGCTGTGTGTGCCCTGTGCAGGTGGTGATCACCAGGCTAAAGCTGGACAAGGACCGCAAGAAGATCCTGGAGCGCAAAGCCAAGTCCCGCCAGGTGGGCAAGGAGAAGGGCAAGTACAAGGAGGAGACCATCGAGAAGATGCAAGAATAGCTGCTCTCCTGATTGACACCATTAAAAAACTGTTAAAATTCAATCTCCTGTGTGTCTTCTTTCAAAAATTTTCATGCGTCCTGCTCAGCATTTAAATACTCCTACTTGTTTTTTGACTTCGTAGAAAATACGCTAAATTAAAAAGCTCTTTGTACCAGTTTTTACTGCTAAGAAAAAGTTTTTTCTGTGTAAAGAAATGCTTCAACCAACCTGAAAAAAGAGCAGTGCAGTCCTGAAACGTCCATCTTAACAGTGATTGTGTTTCTGTCTCTTCATTAGATGTGTCCATGGTTTTATTAATATTAACATGTTCATCCTGTGCACTGTATATGTAATTAATTTGGGTCTTATATTAATGAGCAGAAAGGGGTTTATGAGCAGTGCTGATGAGGCAGAGCTGACTGGTTTGGAAGGGATGGGGTGAAGCAGTCTTGGCCCTGCTGCTGGTGCTTTTGGATGAATTTTCTGTGAGAGGAGATCTCTCCTGGCACTTTGTACCTCCACAATTGAGAGCTGCTGGTTGAAAACAGCCCTGCAGTTGTGAATTGACTGCTCAGTGAAATGCCCTCTAATTGCTGCTGCAGAGGGATGGAAATTCATCAGTGCAATCTGAAAAGAGGAAGCTGGCAATGGAGAATTTCAGGAGCCATTCCCAGGCCTGGCAGTGAAGCTGTGTTTGGGTTTCTCTCATGCAGGCTCGGGGGTTTTGTCCCTCCAGCTCCTGCTGCTCAGTACGAAATTTCTTCACCTTGAGTGGGTGTGTGAGGTTTGTGCATTAGCGGGACCTTTCCAGGCGCAGAGCTGCTCTGGGATAGTGTCCTAATCCCCTGAGGAGCTCAGAGCCAGCCCCTACCCGGCAGCCAGTTTGGGATGGGCATGGGGGCCGGGCTGGGCCGGCGACCCCACAGCAGCCCCGATCCCATTGCGGATCCCACACAGCCTGGATCCCATGAGAGCCCTGATCCCATCATAGCTCCAATCCCATTGCAGATCCCACAACAGCCTGGATCCCATGAGAGCCCTGATCCCATCATAGCTCCAATCCCATTGTGGATTCCATGACAGCCTGGATCCCATCATAGCCCTGATCCCATCACAGCTCCGATCCCATCACGGCAGTCCCGATCCCATTGCGGATCCTACGACAGCCTGGATCCCATGAGAGCCCCAATCCCACGGCAGACCTGATCCCATCACAGCTCCGATCCCATCATAGCCCCGATCCCATTGTGGATTCCATGACAGCCTGGATCCGGTGAGAGCCCTAATCCTATGAGAGCTCTGATCCCATCATGGCCCCGATCCCGTTGCGGATCCCATGACAGCCTCAATTCCACCCCAGTCCCAATCCCATGGCGGATCCCATGACAGCCCCAGTTCCATCACAGCCCCGATCCCATCCCATCCCCAATCCCATGACAGTCCCGATCCCATCGCAGCCCCGATCCTATGACAATCCCGATCCCATTGCGGATCCCATGACAGCCCCAATTCCATCACAGTCCCGATCCCATGACAATCCCGATCCCATCCCCGCCCCGATTTTATGACACCCTCAATCCCATCCCAGCCCTGATCCCATGGCGGATCCCATCCCGCCCCGATCCTATCGCCGCCCCGATCCCATGACAATCCCGATCCCAGCCCTGATCCCATGATAATCCCGATCCCATGGCGGATCCCATGGCAGCCCCGATCCCACTGCACGCGCACCGCGCGCTCCCGCGGCCCCCCGGCTCCCGCACCGCGCGCTCCCGCCGCCACCGCTGACGCAACGGGCGCTGATTGGCGAGCGCCGGGCAGGGCGTGGCGGCAGGCCCCGCCCCCGCTGCCCTCAGAGCGCGGCCATGGCGTACGGCGGCCTGGCGGTGCCCATCATCGTCATGAGCGTGTTCTGGGGGGTGGTCGGCGGCGTCCTGCCCTGGCTCGTACCCAAGGGGCCGAACCGCGGGTGAGTGACCGGGGGGCGGCGGGCACCGGGCGCCTTCCCCTCCGTCCCCCGCGGCTGTGAGGAGGCCCCGGCGGAGGCGGCCCCTGAGGCGCCCCGAGGCTGCCGGGCCCGGCGCCGCCGCGGCCCCGCGGGCGCAGCACGGACGGGCCCGGCTGAGGGGCAGCGGAGCAGCCGCTCCTGGGGCTGCCAGGGCCGGGCGCTGCCCCCGGGGCCCCTCGCGGGTTTGGGTTTCCCCTGAGGCCCTGGCACAGCCCTGGATCCCTGGCAGTGCCCAAGGCCAGGCTGGACACTGGGGCTGGGAGCGCCTGGGATATTGGGATATTGGGATATTGGGATATTGGAGGGTGTCCCTGCCATGGCAGGGCGTGGAACGAGATGAGCTTTAAGGTCTTTTCCAGCCCAAACCATTCTCTGCAGGCAGAACGTCCTGTCTCAAGGTGGTTCACTGCCAGGCGGCATTTGAGCACCAGCTTCCCCTTTCTTTCCTTACTTGACCTTTCCTAACTCGCTCCGCCGTCCTCTGGTTCCACACTGGGTGAGGCTGGAAGGGCTGCAGAGGTGATTTCTGGTTAAATGTGTGCTGTGCCCTTGTGGCTGAGGACAGCAGCAGGGCTGCTAAGCTCAGGTTTTTCCTGCAGTGGTTGTGGCTGCTCAGATTAGAAAGCAGACAAGTTTTTGTGTTTCTCTTTTCTCTAGGAGATAATGGCTTCTTAATCTCTCTTCCTCTCTCTGACACTCCCTCTGCTCCACAGGTACCAACTGTCTTTTCTCTCAGTTCTTTATCTAAACCCTCAATATTCTTCTAGCTCTGATATTTCCTGCCTCACTGTCAAACCTGATGTGTGTCTCATGCCTGGAAACTTGCCTGTCCTCAGAAATATGGAAAAATGGCATGGAAGTGTGGGAATTCTGAGCCTCACCAACAGCAGCTACTGACCTGCCACGAGGTTGTTACTCAGATGGGGGAGGAAATGCATAGATGGAAATGCCTTTTTATAATTTAAAAAGAAAAAAACCCCAACACTTTGCCACTGAGTTCCATGAGCTGCAGAGATCACTGTTAAAAATCCCATTTCCTCTCCCATTTCATTCCCATCTGTGTGTGTGTAGCTGCAGTTTTGCCCTTTTCAATTTCAAGAGCTTGGTTCTTCCTTCTTTTCAGCTTTCCAGTGGTTTCTGACACAGCTGTGCTTCACCAAGAAAGGAAAATTTTACACGACAGCTTTGAGGTTTTATTTTGTATTCAGTTTTTAAACCCCTCATGTAAAATTAAAAGTGACAATTTGACACTCAAACTGTAAAGCAGAATTCTGCAAATGGAGAGAGCATTTACTGTGTGCATCCAGCCTCAGTGTTTCACTAATGTGAGGGACACTGCATGAGGTTTTGCTGCAGTTCCCAGGGATTTTGTTAAACCCACTGTAAACTGTTTGGCAGAGCTGTGTCAGTCCTGCAGGTCTGAGCTCTGCAGTTCACTCAGCTGGAAGAAGCCAGAACATTCACGTTGAGTCATCTTTCATATGATCAGAGTTGAACTGGTCCTTGTTTGCTGTGGGGCTTTTCTCTGTGGATCTTGTGGTCAGTCACAACAGCACACCTGATGACATTTCTCCTTCCTCTTGGCAGAGTTATCAACACCATGCTGGTGACCTGTGCTGTTTGCTGCTACCTGTTGTAAGTACAAACAATGTCCTGCCCCTTCAGCAAGGCCCACTCCTCTTGTAAACACAGGTTCCTTTTTTACAGCCTCAGGGCAGTCAGAAGCTTTTTGAATGTGTCACATGTGCTTTGACAGCTCTTGGAATTCTGAGCTCTAAAGACCTTCAGTGTGCTGAAGGAATTTTCCCGTTGGAAAATGCTGAATTAAAAGGAACCTGAATTCCTCCTGTTGTTTCTGACACATGACTGTGAGCTGTCCTCTGCATGGACTTGCTGTTCCTCCTCTCCAGTTCCCTGCCTCATTTGCTCACAATTATAATGATAATTCTAAGATTTTCCTTAGGCTTTTTTTGCCTTTATTCCTTTCCACTTTATATTTAATTCTGAGGTAATACTAACTCAAACCCACTGAACAGTTTTGCTTTTAGATTCCTTGAATATATTCTCAATAATCTGGTAGAGTGGTGGGTGGAAAAGCTGCTGCATGGTGGGTTTTTAGTGAGACTTTGATATATTAAGACAATTTATGTTTAAATGCACAGTGTATTTTGAGGCTGCCTCCTTTCTGTAGGAGATTTAGTAGGAATTACAAAGTGACTTGTTGAGAGTCTTCATATAATGTTTTTTAAAATCAGGATTTAAGCCAGCTGTAGCTGGAGAGTGCAAGACAAAGCTTGCTTGTGTTTTTCTCTCCCTCTTTTTAAAGTGTGAAGACTGATCTTGTAAAAAACTGCTGTGCAGAAATACCTTAGAAAGAATTTGTTGTGGAGAGTGAAGTGGTAAAAGTCTGGTTTCATCTTAAGGGTTAACTTGTTATAAAATTATTATTTGGAGTTCCATTCGAACCTGAGTACTGTTTGTACTTTCTTGAGCTATTTAGGCATTATTCATGCCATTCAAAGGAATTTAAAATGAATATTTAGAGAAATGCATCTCAGTGCTGACATGTTCCAGGAGAGGCCTGTTGGGTTGGACTGTGGCACAATTACACAGGTCTGCTTTAGGTTAATAATGAGATATCCAGGGTTAGCATCAGTTTATACTCTAGAAAACTTACTTCTCTTCAGAATATTTGGTGCGTGAACTCCTAAGAATTCACTCTTGCTTAACTGTAAAAGTCCAGCAAACTTGGCTCTCTTTTGTATCCACAGAAGTTTTTTAATTTAACATAAAATTATTATTTGGAGTTCCATTCGAACCTGAGTACTGTTTGTACTTTCTTGAGCTATTTAGGCATTATTCATGCCATTCAAAGGAATTTAAAATGAATATTTAGAGAAATGCATCTCAGTGCTGACATGTTCCAGGAGAGGCCTGTTGGGTTGGACTGTGGCACAATTACACAGGTCTGCTTTAGGTTAATAATGAGATATCCAGGGTTAGCATCAGTTTATACTCTAGAAAACTTATTTCTCTTCAGAATATTTGGTGTGTGAACTCCTAAGAATTCACTCTTGCTTAACTGTAAAAGTCCAGCAAACTTGGCTTCTGTTTTGTACCCAAAGAAGTTTTTAAATTTAAGTTTTGCTGAGTGGATATAGAAATTTGAGAATTTGTGCAAGCAGCTTGAGTTTGGGGTTGACATTTGGGAATGTCAGTGCTCTGGAGGTCTCCTTGCCCTGCACATGAAGTTTGTAACAGCCCAGTCTCATAACAGTCCCAAATGTTTGGCTAAGAAAGGACAATTTTTTTGGTGATTTTTACTGGATTGCTGCATTTATGTTACAGTAAGTTGGGTGGTTTTTAATTAGGAGAAGGGTTGAGCTTTGTTTTGGTTTTATTTAAAGTTCTCACTTGGGTTTTTTCTACAGAAATAATGCCCCACTCTTCTAAAACCCTTGAGGTTTGGAGTTTGTATTGTTTGAAGGAGTTTTCCTGGAGGTAAAGGCCATGTGGCATCTGCAGCATCCTCTGGGTTGTGATGTGAAATGTGTTTGTTGTAGAATTTCTGAACTTTTTGGCTAAATTCTGTGAACTCTTCCAATGTACAGTGTTATTGACTTGTAGGTTTAGTTGATTATTTTACCTAAACAGACCCATTATAAAGCCTACTGTTATTAACATGTTTTATAAACTATTATTTTGCATGTCCAGGGGTTCTTTGGTAAATTTCTAACTTGGTCTCTAACTTGTTTTCTGAAAGCCAAATTTCCTTTGGCTTTCTTCAATTATACTTTGGAAAAAAGAAAAAAAAAAAAAGCAGCAAAATCTTGGGATGTTTTCAACCCTCCGTAGTTGTACCCAACCACATAAATTGCATTTGTAGTGTCTGCTTGCCAGAATGCAACAAAAAGCAGATTTTGCTCATCATGTTCCAAGACAGAACTTGCCTCATCACAGAGTCCTTCATTTTTTATTTGCTCATTTATTCTGTATAAAATTGTAGAACAACTCTGTTTGGAAAGCACCTCAAAAGATCTGGTCCAGCCTTTTCCCTCTGTTTTATTCAAACATATGGAACTTTATTGTTCTTGCATTCTTTTCCTTTTGGGGAGGAATTACTGAAACATTTAAGACCTCAATTTTGGGTGGTTAAAGAAAGAGATTAATTTTTCATACCAGTCTTGAAGGAAGCCTAAGGAATTGTTTCTGGGGGTTCTTTAGTAGATATGTTAGGATTAAAATAATTTCTGCTGCCCCAGGTATCTGTGTGTCCTTGTGCTGTCCTGTGCTCCTGTCTACAGCTGTTTAATCTCTGCTAAAACTGCTTTTTTATTCTTTGAGTTATTTTTCCAGTTGAAAATAGGGAAAAAACAATTTCCTCTCTTCATTAAACACCACTTGATTGACAAATGAATTTCACTGAAACGAATTTTTTTGTCAATCACATTTCAACTTAAAGCTGTTTCTTCTGTATTTAGTTTTAACAGTGATAATTTTGAATAACCATATTGGTTACATGGGATTCATTTGGTTCTTCTGTGGAAGATATTTGCATCTAATTTGTGTACAGATCCTGTACCCAGCAGCCTTTTGAAGAACAAACCATTCTCAGGAACCTCATAAAACCTAAGGCAAAGTCCGAGGAGTTACTGCTGCAGAAATCAGAGGTTGCACCATATTGTGAGATACTGGCAGAGGCTAAATCTATTTTGCTGTGCACAAAGCAGTTCCTGAACAGTGTCATCATGTCCTAACAGAGGACAGGGTGCTTGGAAAATCATATTATTTGTTACTGATTCTAACAGGATTAAAATATGGATGCCCAAATTGACATTTAAACAGAGATAGCAGGACCTTAATTTGTAACACGAGCACAGACAGATGGCAGTTGTGGTGGGAAGACCTTTTAAAAAATCTTTCTGGTACAACAGAAGGGACTTTAATTTCCTTGTCTGAGCTGATAATTAACAGTAACTGTTCTAAGTGGGATCTGGTAGAATTTAAGGACCTGTGGGTGGCTCGAATGCCATACCTGCTTTTAGCAGCTCTGGAACATTGCATCTTGGCTACAGAGGTTTGTTTTACTGAATGCTGCTTTTTGTTGTGTGTTGTCACGCTGGATTGTTGTATAAAGCAGCATCACTTAAACAAAACACGGGAAAAGCTTTTTCATGCCTTACCTTGAATGCCAGGCAGCTGCAGCCTAACAACTGCTTTAAATTCCTCAGCCCTCGCAGGGCAGGGGGAGGAGGAGGCTGCTGCCCTAATGCCACCCTGCTCCCAGCTCGGCTGTCCAGCACGGCCCCAACAAATGCCTTTTGAAACCTTTTCCCAAAGCCTGGCTCCACAGGCTGAGCTTCTCACTGTGCTCCCAGCTCGTTTAATTCACAGCCATGCTGGGCCTGAGCTCGGGAGGTGAGGGATCGGTGCAAGGAGTTCCTGCTCTGCAGTGACAAAGGAATAATGTGCTTCAGCAGGCTTTTAGTGTTCTGCCCTCCTCCCACTTGTGTTACTTCAGGATGCTGGAGGCAGATGGCACAGTGCTCTTTGGATCTGTCTGTTGGATCTGAAACGTTAACCCTCACAAAGGAAATTCCCTGATAATTTTAAGAGCTAATTCGCTTTTCCCTTAAGTAGATTTAACATCATGGTTTCAGAATACATTGTTGTCAGTGCTTTGGACAGCAAAGTAGAAACGTGTCAACCTCAAGGATTTTGGCTGCTCTCAGTGGTGTCTTGCTGATGTTTTAATTCCTTTCTAGAGCCTGCTACGTGTCCCAATGCTTGTGTGACTGATGAACTGCTGCAGGCTCAGCTCCTTGTTTTAGCTGGAGTTCTACCCCGTGCAAAACTGAAAGGGGCATTGCAAAGAAATGTTGGTAAATTTGAGGAGGATTGATGTGTTTCCTTTGAGTCTGACCCACATCTGTGCCGTGCCTCTTGCAGGCAGCCGACCTGCACTTGGTTTGCTGGTCAGAGCATCAAGGTTTGTGTGGAATTTTCCATGACTGCCTAAGCACTCTGATACATTTGTGGCAGCTCCCATTACAAAGCTGCTCTGCTTTTTCTCCTCCTTACAAAGCATTCTAGAAATAGCAGACAGATGAGCCAGTGTGTTCACTAAATGTGTTTATATAGTTAGTATTTAATATAGATTTAAATCCGTGGAAGCATCCATTGCTTTTTCTGATTCTTGTAACGTTTACAAAGCAAATATATCTTTTAAGAGGAGAATATTTATTTCTGTTTAGCTTTCCTGGATATTTTCCACAAACTACATTCCTCTTGTTCTCAGTTCTGGCCGTGGCTTCTGCAGTGTTAGTTTGTGCTCTGCTCCAGTGACAAGGCTGCTGTGCTGATAATCTGGGGCTTGTGTCATATTTGGGTTGTTCTTGTGGGGTTCTTTTTTGGTCTTTTTTTGTGTTCTTTTGTATCCTTTTGCTGCAGGTCCCTGTTTCTTGACCTCTGTGCCAGGTTTAAATTCACTTTTGTTAAGTCTCTGAGCAGTATACCATGTCTGCAAGGACAGGTTGTCATGCACTGAGAAGCAAATGAGGGAGAGGATGTTTCTCAGAGGTTGTTGTTTAAAGGAGGCTTCAAAGGCACTGAAAAAAGCTCTTGTCTCTTCTATGTTTTCATCTTCTGAGCCCCCAAATACCTGAATTTCATGTGTCTCAAAACATTTTTCGGTCAGAAGAGAGGTGTGAGGGCAATGCTATCAGGTGGTTTTGTGTTGCTTTCAGTTGAACAGGACAATCTGTTTTGGCTGCAGAATGATTTGGTGCCATAACTTCATTGCTGGTGGCTGGTCCTTGTGTTTGAGCTTGAGTAGAATTTTTATTTGAACCTAGACCTTCCTCAATCGCCTTTTCTCCTCTGATAGGCCTCGTGTTTGGACAACCTTTCCACTGTCACAAGCTGTCCTTTGGCTGATTTGTCTCTGTTGGGTTGGGGGGTTGTTTTGCAGTTGGCTGATTGCAATTCTGGCTCAGCTCAACCCTCTCTTTGGGCCTCAGTTGAGCAATGAAACAATCTGGTACCTCAGATATCACTGGCCTTGAGGATGCCTGTGCTGTGCTGCACTTCATTGACAGGTGAGTATGGTCAGATTTATTGATGTGTTTGGTGTGTTAAAGCTTCAGGAGAGATTGAAGAGTAATGTGAGCAGGTGCTCAAACCAGCGTAGCTCTTTTGTAGAAGAAATCTGTCTTTCAGTAGGCTGCAACAAAACATTTTGGATGTTAGTCTGGATTGGATATGTGGAAAGCTTGAACTGAATTATTGACAGTCATTTTTCTTTCTATCCTGTCATGTAGTGCTGTGTTCAGGGGTTTGTAAGAACAAAACATTACTTCCAAAAAAAGATATAATTGGACTGAGTAACATAAGTGGATTTCCTAATCTTTACCAATTGTTCAACCTCTCCTCAAGCCTGCTACCATTTCATCTAAGACCTGTCCTGATTTCCAAGGCAACACAGCGTTGCTCTCATTCATCTGGGAGGTTGGAATGGGAGCTGCCATTAGAATGTTCTTTATCTCCTGAGCTCCCAGCTTGATGGTTTATTTTGTTTTTAATGACAGCCTGTGTGCAGCTTTAATCCCAGCTGAGCCTGGTGGTTGCTATCAGGGCACTGCTGCTGGAATGTGGTTCTTGCAGTTCCTGGCCTTTTTGACAGGGCCAGCAACAATAAAATGTTGTGCTAAAAGTACCTTGGTGCTGTTGGGCTTGTTCAGGAGGGCAGCGTTTGGAATTGAATGTTCCAATGAAGGAAATGTGGAAACAAGCAGCCATGATTATAGTTTTTAAGCTGCTAACTGAATAATTAAACACATTTTTTGTTTGTCCTTGTACAACAAGCTCAGTGCAGCAGGCAGTGACAGCTGATGTTACAGCTCTGTTAAATGCTTTCTGTGAAGTGTCCTGGACATTTGTTCCCCAGTTCCAGAGAAGGCTTCCTGGGAACTGGGATGTTGTCAGACTGGGCCTGTGTGTGTGTCTGCAGCTCCTTTTAAGCACCAGGCAGAAGCTAAAGGTAGACTTGGCCCTGCTTCAACTCCAGGCCTGTAATTAGCTAAGTCAGTCAAGCAGAATTTCCTAGGAGCATTTTCACTGCTTGGGTGCTAACATATAATTAGTTAGCTAAAACAGAGAACAGTGTGTTTTGGTAATGGGCACAAAGATCCCTGAATCCCATAGGATGATTCAGTTGCCTGGGATCTGAAATTGGAGTTATCTGGACATAAAAATTGGGTTTCATGATCTGTGTGTTGAAAGCAGCAAGGACAGGCAGGAGGTGAGACACAGCCTCTGGACTCCTGCTAACAGAACCAGGCCTTTCCCCTCCATTCCAGTGAAGGATTTTCCAGAGACCTGCAGTTAAATTTGTACCAAGGAAGAGAGGGAACTTGTGTATTTGAAGCTGACTGCAAAGTTTCTGAGGAGCTGTTTTTTAAACTTATTAATGGAGCATTTCAGCCCTGCATGCTGTTTTGTTACATGAAGGAGTTTGTTTTAACCTTTAATCTGATTTTATTGGCTTGATTTTGGAATAAAATTGTTGTCTCTGAAAAGGAAAGGCTTATAAAAGTAAAAGCATATAATAATTCTCAAATATCTGTTCTTTGTTGCTTGAAATGTGCTGTCCCAGGTCACACCACAGCAGTGTTGTTTGAGTGCTGTTGCAGGGCTGAGGTGCTCCTTGTCCTGTCCTTGCTCCTGTGGAGTTTGTGCCTAGACAGGAGCTGTGAGGGAGATTCCATGTGATAAGAGCTGGGATATCTCTCTGACACTGCATGGATTCCCATCAGTGTAGCAACCAGTTAATTCTGGATTTTGAGCTGTGCTTTTCCAGCATTCAGGGGACATGTACTATACTTGTTTCTGCCTCCTGTTCCTTTCAGTTGAGGTTTGGGTGGGTTAGTATGGAAAATGCAAAGAAAATAAAGTGCTAACTCCCAAAGCGGAAAGATCCTTAAAAATAAAGATGATTAAAGCAAACCCGTTTTACTTAACTGAGCAGCCTGAAAATGCTCCAGTGAGCTCCTCGTGTTCTGCTGAGGAGCTCTGCATATGCTGGCTTGATTGATCTGTGCCAAATTCCACGAGTTTGCTCTGTGTTTTCAGGCAGCCTCCCTCCCATCCAAGGGATGATTTTATAGCAATTCAGTTGATACATCACCAAGGCAGTGATGGCAGTGTGCAAGAGCACCCAGAGCTCTGTAAATCCAGGCTGTGCACTCGTCCAAGCTGTGATCCAGCAGTGCCTTTTCTCCTGAGCCTGGTGAATTCACAGGCTGTGTTCTCAGAGCTGGAGCTGTCTTTGTGCAGTGGAGAAGGGCTCTCATCCAGCTCGCTGGGTGCTGTTACAGCAATGAAAACATTTGAGGGAAATAGTTGTTCTACCAGCTTATAATGTAACTAAAACTACTTGCAGTAACTTCAGAAATGAAGCTGCCAAGAAAACATCTCCGCAGATGAATTATCTCCAGTTCTTGACCATTGCTCAGTGTGTCTGTGGAATGGAAATAGCTGTGATTAACAGCCAGGCCTTCAATTAGCAAACTGTCTCCATGGAAGGAATAATGAATGCCTCTTGCTTTGCAGGTGAAGAAGAGATGAAAAGCTGCACTGACCCAAAGGTGCCCTCTCTGGAGCTGGGTGGATGCAAAGCCTCAGTAATGCCTTAACCCTTCTAACGTTCTTCGAGTGGCTTCCTCAAAGTCCTGTGTTTTTTTCCTACTATTCCATTTAACAGAGTGCCTAATGCAATTTATACTCCTCTTTGGTACTGTCAATTTTTGACTGTTAACTCCAGATGTGATGAAAATTTCTATTTTTACGGGTCATGGAATCACGTTTCCTGTTCATTTTATCTGTAATAACTCTTTATATTTGCAGGTCTTAGCTTGTCTGTCAGTCATTGTGCTGTTCACCCCTGTTCTGTTTGCACTGGACAAAAATGTGTGCAATAAACTGTGTGAGGAGAGGAGAAACAGTGGTACCATGTGCTGATGGCAATTTTTATTTTTTTTTCTCCAAATGAATTGTATTCTTGAGAAATCTGGCCTTAAATTTCTCATGCCTGGAAATAAAACTAATCCTCTGCTTGATACAAAACGTTCTCGTGCCATGTTTAACTGTTATTTTTCTGTGGGTTTCATTGGATACTTGGAGGGGATATTCAGATGATGTGGATAAATTGGAATGAAGTTAAATAGCAGGAATAGATGGGGAACTGTTGCCTGTATTGAGACTTCTGGGGTAGATCTATAATAGGATTAAATTTTCAATTTAAAATTGCTGAAAGGTGCAGGAATAAGTGAATGCTTGACTTGAGAGCCTCTTCTCCAGGAACTTCCCATTGTCTGAGGGGGACTCAGAGCAGCAAAGGTAACGTGGTTAATTTGGAGGAAGCCTTCACTGTGATTGTGACAGGGGATTGTGTTGAGGGGGACTCAGAGCAGCAAAGGTAACGTGGTTAATTTGGAGGAAGCCTTCACTGTGATTGTGACAGGAGGCTGATTTAATCCCTGCCACATTTGGAGGATATTATAGGAGCAAATGGTTTGAATTGAGCAGGAAACGTTCCAGTTTTGTACTGACGTGACCCTTGCATGTGGAATTTCAGACCTGGGAAAGCGAGAGGTTCCTGAGGCTGCTCAGTGTCAGCTGGGATGGATCTGGGCTTTTGTTTGCTGAGGAGCAGCTTCAAAGTGCTGCTCCCTGAGTGCCTCCTTACCTCACATCCAGACAAATTACAGTTATTCCCTTCATTGTTAAGCACAAGGACACAAGGGAATGGTTAATATTTTATTTGCTTTTCCCTCTTGGATAGCACCATTAGCTTGTTCAGTGGGACAGCACTCATTACTACACAGGAAATTCCAAGATCCTGACATGTAACTTGCAGATCCAAAACTGGACAGTGTGAATTGCAAAAGAAGGAAGAAGGTGCCCATTATTACAAATAAGCATAGCAGCTGTTGGGACTGGAATAGTGGAATTTTTTGTCATGTTACCCTCTAAGAGCTGTGTTTTACCACGTAAGATGTTGTACACTGTCATGTTACACAGTCTGTACCAAATAATTCCAAGGAAAATTGAAACCAAGTGATCATATAAAAACTTAAAAGTTGTTGTTTGATTTTTGAAGTGTGTGGAGAATAAAATATGTTGACATTGTGTGAGGAGAGGGAGAGAAATACTCCAAGATATCACTGACAGATTTGAGATTTTGAAATATGTTGATCTGCTTGTCATATTTAGCCTGAAGTGAAATACCCCAAGAGAAAACCCTGAGTGACAAACAGTGCTGTTTATTGTGTTGCCACTGTCTTTAACAAGCTTTCTATTTTAGGTTCTAAGCTATCACTTGCTCTAGAAGAGAGAAGTAACAGAGTTCCCATGGGGTGTCTCACTGGTGCTGATTTTTATGGAAAGAGCTATTCCAAGCCAGGACAAAGAAGCCATGGAGCACTTTCCACCTAGATGCTTCCCAGAAGGACATTCCCCTTTTCCAGAGTGGTTAACTTTTCCTCTGAAGGAGATGCCAGGTGGTAGCATGACTGAAGAAGCTGAAGAATCATGTTTTGGTGTGTTCTGCTGGATGTTGCACGGTGGCTGGGGAATGGTCTGCTCCTGGTGTGCCAGGAATTGACACTGCTTGGGATAATTTCTTTTTTCTTTTTTTTTTTTTTTTTGCATGACTGCAGGAAATGAGAACAGAGGGATTCAGCCTCTGGTGTTGAACAAACAATGCAGGTACCAGAGCATTTGTCACACGTCCCTCTCTTGTCTGACAGCAGAAGAGAACGCAGAATGTTCAAGTATAAAAGAAAGAAGTTTGTGCTTGAAATGGAAAACCTGTGTTGAAATATATTTGGGTAAAAAATGAGGAAGGTGAAGGAAGCTGACGCCACAGTCAAGTTGTGAAGACTTTTAAGTCATAAACTCTGGCAATGTGTAGAGCAAGAATTCAGGTCAGGGTCATTTGAAATGCTTGTTCTGTTCATATTGTTTAGGAAATGCAAATATCTGCATCTCTGCCTGCCCCTGGAGGCTCTGTAGAAGTTTACTTTCTCTCTAGTGGAAATCATGGAAGCATTTTACTGTGAAGGGCTGAGTTATCAGAGGTGGGTGGCTGCTCCCTTGTTTCCAGAACTAAATGTCATGGACTCTCTGGGGCAAAAATAGAATAATTGGGGTGAAATGAAAAAACTTCTTTAAAGAATACAAGACCTTCTTTACAAATAGCAAGATAAGAACGGGTGGCTCTATTTTTTATTATGTTTATTAGCAATAATTTCTCCAGTTGTGCCTGAAGCAGTCCAGGCCAGCCACCTGTCACTGTGAAAGGTGGTTGTGCACGTAGCTGGAGACAGTAGGAAAAATTACAGAGCTGCAGGTCGGCAGACGGACGGATGCAGGGGACAAATGCGTGATTGGGGCCGCAGAGAGCAGGAGCGAGCTGCGGGACAGGAGCACAGCCCAGCCCCGGGAGTCGCGGCCGCGCCCCCGCCCCGCCGCGCTCTGCCCGCGGGCACCCGCCTCCCCGCCTTAAATACCCCCCGCGCGCCGCGCCGCCGTCACGTGCCGGGGACGGCCCCCTGCTATTGGGCGGCGCAGCCCCCCTTCCCTCCGCCCCCCCGCGCGCGCCCGCCCCCTCGGGCCACGTGAGGGCCGAGTCACGCGATTTCCGGGAACCCGTCAGGAAGGGACATAAACAAACAAACCCGGGGCCGCATGGAGGGGCCGGGCCGGGCCGCGGGGACGGGGATGGGGCCGGCGGCCCCTCCGCTGCGCTCGGCGCCGGGGGGGTGTGGCTGCCGGGGCGCGGGGGGTGTCCGGGGCCGGAGCGGGGCTCCGGGGCCCGCGGCCGGGCTGGGGGCCGTCAGAAGGGGCTGCAGGGACGGAGCGCGGGCTGAGCGGAGAGCTGTGGGCTTTGCCCCGGCCAGCCTCCGCCCGGCAGGAGCGGCCCGTGCCTTTACAAGGAAAGCGAGTGTGGCAGCGAGCGCCGGGAGAGGAGAGCGCCGTGCTGCCCTGGAGCCCGGCTGCTCCAGCTGCCCTGGAGCCCGGCAGCCGCGAGGCGGCTTCGGCAGCCCCTGCGCTCCTGCCTTTCGGGCTTGTAGTCGCCTCCTCCGTTTGCGACCTGTTTGCACGCCCGGGGCTGGCCCGTGACCGTGCGGGCTCTCCGTGCGGGGTGTGCTGGTGCCCCACGGGCGGCTCCGCTGCGAAGGCTGCGGGGCAGAGCTGGCAGCGGAGGGGGCTCACCGCTCCGCGAGCGCGGGGCAGGGCAGGACGGGACCGTCCCCGCTCCGGCGCGCCATTTATGTAACGACAGAGCGGCGGCACGGCTGCGAGCCGCGGCCCCGGGACGGGGCTTCCCCCGGGCAGCGCGGGTGCGCCCGGCTGCCCGCA